AGGTGGAGCGTCTCGGTGAACCGTGGGGCTTCTGTCCTGGTGAAAGTCTCAAGTGGCCGAGACTCGCGTTTAGACCTAGAGGTTCTGTTGCGGAAGGCGTATGTTGACTGCTGATCCAGCCTTGAGTTGTTGTTGGCGACAAGAATTGAACTAGCGATTGTCAGTTGTTGCACAAAGAGCGGGTACATTCATTCCAATGCTTTGACGCATATGCTCTCCCGATAGTTGCATAGAAACCACTTCAGCGACGCCTTGTATGCTGACTGAGTCAAGATGTGATCCTACTATCATTGTTACTTTAGAACCACATATGTAAAAGATATTCTACCTACAGTGATATTTGCTAACAAATCTGCTGCTACGTGTCCCGACACAAGCCGCGTCCCAATGGAAATGAAACCCATACGCTATCATCATGCAACGCTATTGTTCGCTCATGTCTATCATGAATACTCGTTATTCTTACCTGAAGCAACCTGTCCAAATCACTGACCCCACATAAGCACCCGCCATCGCCAGCCCTCCAGAAGCTTCATGTCCTGCTCGACAACATCAGAGTCGCCTCGCTCAATCTTGGCACTGAGTCGCTTCAAACGCTTCGAAACTGTCTTTGCCACCTGGAGGGAGACCTCGTTGGTGAAAACATACAAGACGGCGAAGACAAAGAAGGCAATGCTAGCGAAACTGTTTCGGCCAAGGAGACTGTCCTTGATGCGGGCAACTAGTGCCTTGCTACGTGAAAAGGCATATTCGGTGCTGTTGGACGCCTGTACCTCGTTCTCAGACTTGTCAGAAGGACGGCGGAAGATTCTCTTCACAGCCGGGATAAAAGTCGCCCTGGTGAATATCAGTACCAGTGTCCGAGACGCGCACATGCTGAACCCAGACGACAAGAACTTACACAGCTCCGCCGATTAGCCAATTCCTCCAGCGGTGGTTCTCACCATCCTTGATCAAGAACCCAACCTCTTTTCTCAAGAACTTGAGGTCACCAAGCAGAATGCGGCCCTGAGTCCTGATCTGGTCTTCCAACTCCAACGATGTGGCGCCATCGAGCCGAGTCCTCTTTCTTTGCAAGGATAGATACTCCCGCAACGCGAATTGGGTGCTTGTCTTGATCGACTTCAGGTCCTGGGTAGTCGTTGCAAGAGGGTTCAGGGCAGCGGCCGGACGGGGTGCCTCTACCATGCTTGCCGGTTGCGAGTGTGGAGTCGGATAGGCTGCTGGGCCGGCCATATGCTCGACCGGAGGCTGAACGTTCACGCTGGAAGCCATAACAGGCGGAGGTCCTCCATAACTTTGGCCGGGGTAAGCGGCCGTCGGAGTGGTGGACTGAGGCGGCCGCGAGTATTGGTCAAACCCCGGCGGCCCCCCCGAGGGCGCAGTCGGGTATGCCCCAGGGCCATTGTATGGCGCGGACGAGGCTGCAACTGGCTGGATATTCATGGCGTACCGTGGTATCAGACGTCGAAAGATATGGGTGGGACTGGCGGCGGTGAAGGAAGCTCGTAATGAGGGGGACGGTCCGCAACTGGAGCAAGCGGATCAGGCGGGAGCGGGCCTACCAAGCGAAAAATGAAATGAAGAGCAAGCGAGCAGACGACAAAGAAACCCACGATGGAAAACGTGAGGCGATAACATGCGCAATGAGACAAACAATTGGGTGGCGGGGGATTGGAGAAGAGCTGGAGGCAGCTCAGCTCACTGCAGGGCGGAAAAGGTGAAAAGCGATGGGCAACTTAAGGTGAAGGCGGGATGAGGTGGGACTGCCAGCGAACGGGATCCACTGCGGGAAGTGGGTCCACCACACCGTGCCAGTTGCAAAGCGAAACTAACCGACGCACGTTACGTCGTTTCTTTCCATTGTCGCAAAGCTCGAGATGAAGCTCTCCATTCGATACAATTTTTTCGCGCCAGCTTCAGCGAATCCAACCCATTGCTCCCTCTCGACCTCCACAAACCCGCCATGTCCGACCAAACAAACTCACGGTTCACACCGTCGAACAAAACAGTGACTGAGCGAATCTCGGACAGCACTGTCGGCCTCGTCGCCCTCTCCGATTTCCGCAAGCGACGCGCCGAAGTCCTCGACCAGCAAGACCGCGAACGGGAGGCGGCCTTGTCCGGCGCATCCACACCCGACCGATCCGTCTCTGCGACACCAGACCCTGCAAGCGATCATGCGAGCGGTGTAAACAAGCCGAAGAAGAAAAAGAAGAAGCTTGGCGGCAGCAAGCTGTCTTTTGGCGACGACGAAGAAGAAGAGGAGGACGCGGCACCCATCAAGAAAGGCAAAAAGGTAGAGAGCGGCGATGGCGACAAGGCAGAGAAGAAGTCAAAGGTTGTCGCCAACTCGTCGGTGGCATTTGTGCCAAAGGTCATGTCGAAGGCCGCGTTGCGCCGCGAAGCTGCCGAGCGGGAGGCGTTGCGACGCGAATTCTTGGCCATCCAAGAGGCGGTCAAGGCCACTGAGATCGCGGTACCCTTTGTGTTTTACGATGGATCCAACATACCTGGCGGCACGGTGCGTGTAAAGAAGGGCGACTACATCTGGGTCTTCCTGGATAAGAGCCGCAAAGTTGGCGCGGAGCTTGGCGTAGGAGAGAAGGCAAACGCACGGAGAGAATGGGCAAGAGTGGGAGTGGACGATTTGATGCTCGTAAGGGGGTCAATCATCATTCCACATGTAAGTTAACCACACATGTTCTATTGGTTTCTTGACTAAGGGACTAACGTCTTCTAGCATTATGAGTTCTACTTCTTCATTATCAACAAGAGCGCAGGCCCGGGTGGCCAGCCGCTGTTCAACTACTCCGCGGATGCGCCGCCCAGGAAGGACGAGCCCGAACCGGAGGTGCCCGCCGCCCCCAACGGCGGCCTCACCACTGCAGCGGCACTCAAGGCGGCTGCGGTAAAGGCCCTTCCCGATATCAACACCCTTGAGGGCGCGGCCGACGATCCGACCCTGACGAAAGTGGTGGACCGGCGCTGGTATGAGCGCAACAAGCACATCTATCCAGCGAGCATGTGGCAGGAATTCGACCCCGAAAAGGATTATGACACCGAGGTTCGGAAAGACGCCGGCGGGAACACCTTCTTCTTTTCGAGATGAGTGCCGGCTTGTCGATCGAAGATATAGATCCCGTCGAAGTCGTTGGTAGGTTATGTGAGGGACGATAACGCCAGGCGGCGTTCGTTCGCACAAGCTCACCCCGCCAGCATCCAAAAAGTGAAGAGAACGCCGAAGATGAACATCCAGCCCGGCCAGAAGACCAAAATGATCAGCATGTTGCCGCCTGGACCCAGTATCGTAGTTGCGAACTCCATGAAGAACTTTTTCCTCAGTCTCTTGATTTGCTTGGAGTTCCACGCAAACCATAATGACTTCCGAAGCGCCAATGCTGTTGCATTCAAGAAATAGAACGAGTGGACGGCGAAGAGTCGAGTCGCGACAACGGTTGACGTGAGGGTTGAGGTGGCGAGGAGATGGCCGTAGACGAAGAGCAGCGACGACGCAACAGCGACAAGTCTCTGGAAGCGAACGGCAAGGTTGAAGGTTGGCCCGAACAGGGCGATGAGGTCTGAGCGCTGGCGGATTGTCACGCCAGGCTCGTGCGTCGACGAGGTCAAGATTGCGACTTTGTTCATGATGGCAGAAGAGGTCTCAGCAAGGGCTCGTTCACGACCTACAACGGTGCCTTGTTGGAGAGACCGAGGGGACTCATCGTCAGGGTCAGCGGATTCAGCTTGTTGCAACTGACGATATATATTGACGGGCATTCTGCTCAGCGGCAACTGCATGCGACAATCCACCCTTCGAACTCCTTGGGGCTTTCGGCAACAGCGCTTCAGGTATTCCGGCAACTCTAGTCATGAAGAAGTGAACCAAATGGAGATGGAACATGTTAAATGCTAGTGGTCACCGCGGACTCATCACTTATCACCTAACACGACGCTGGTCTAGAATTTTCTACCCCTCCATCGAGTCAACAATCACGCTGTGACAGACCCACCATCACGCTCTTTTCTGGCGACAAACCATGTCAACACGTGGGGCTGCTCGGTCGCCGGATCGGTTCTACAAGCTCCCATCGGACACTGAGGGAACTGAGAACGTGGGTTCTCATCGACTCTCATTCGCAGGCCCTTGTTCTCTCGCCATCCATTCCAGTCTAGAATACGCAGTACCTCGACTCCCGAATGTTCGCGTTTCCCCCGTGGACCCTGATCGTCCGGGGCATCACCTCCCATTGGCGGGAGGCGTCTTTCTTGTTGATCGATCTTATCGTCTTATCGCTGAGACCTGGCACTTTCGGATCTTTTCGACCTGTCGGGATCCCATAAGCAGACATGTGGCGGGGCCCGTACTGTTGCCGCCGACCATGGGCAAAGAGCGCTCTCCTACAGGCTGGTGAATCGGCCGTCTCCGGAACTTTCCCGCTTCTCTGCATTCTTTCTCCCCGGCATGTTTGGGCCACGAACGGGCGCCCGTGGGGGGGCAAGAGACCGAGAGACCCCACGCTACAGGCTTATGCGCCACAGCCCTTGAATGCGCCACGCCTTTAGTTCTCACACTCGTGGCTGCTCACAGCGGTCCACCCGGAGCAAAGGTCGGTACCAGTTTGACTCGCCGTCGTGTCACCCCACCAAGACGCAAAGACCTTCCAAAGATATCTGTGCCGTCTCAGGAGAGCTACATACCGCTGCCTTCAGCTCTTAAGCTATTGGGCTCCAATACTACATGCCCTCACCGACAGCAACCGTGGAAAGCACCCGGTGGTCAGATCTTGTCGCTGCGTCCTTGCGCCAGCAAAACCCATCCATCCGGGCCATTGTTCATTTACTTAGGCTACACATTTAAAAAAAACAAAGCACCCTCGCTGCGCTTAAGGTGTTGGAGCCTAGTGAGTCGGTGAAGAACAAACACAACCGCAGTCAGGTGTAACGTTCCCGCGCTAGACTCAGGTGGGAGGCGAAAACGATCATGCAATGATGGAATCCTTTGGCCGCCCGAGTGAGCCGTCTGGTAGCCCATGCGTGTATCGGCGGGAGTGGCTGGTCAAGTGTCTAGGCATAATTGCCTTTGTCCGGTCGTCAACAAAAACGCAACAGTAATCAGCGTACGGGCTTGTTTTTGCTTCGGCTCCGGTGGCATGACAAGCATGAGAAGCGCCGATCGTACGAGTGGTTCTTCAGTGGAGCCGCGCTGGGAAGATGCTCGATGGGGCGGGGGACCAGCAAACGCAGCGATATGCATATTTGCAGTCCGCTTCGTTCATGGCCAATGCGACGATCTCTGCGGTCGTATCTTGTGAGCGGTTGCATCCACGGATGGGCGACTTTGGAGCCACTGTTCATTGATTGTTTAATTCCCCCTCGTAAGGAGCGAATCTGACCGAGGAAAACCCCTCCGGTACCAACGAAGACGGCATCTGAAAGACCCCAGGACCCTGAAATCGTCCCATCCCTGGCGTCCAGCCCACACGGCCAATTAATTGATGGCAGCCAGCCATTGCCCAGCCACCCCGTATCCATGACAGACGCAAGGTCCGTCGCTGCGAGTGAAAGCGCGATCGCAGAGACACTTTCATGCACACCCTGACACTGCGGTAACCGACGGCGGAGGATCCTCTGCCGTCCTTTGCCAACACGAGTTCATGATCAGCGATTCTGCTCAGGGCACATGCCATTTCCCTCGCTAGTCAAAGCAGCGTTGCAGTCCTGGAGCCGGGGATGCCCCGGCTAGTCCGCGTGAAAACGTGAAAGGGAGAGACATTCGGTTCTAATAATGGCATCTCTCGACCCCTCCTCAGCTCAATGCAGAATGGTGCCTGCAGCGACAAGCCGGAATCGGGCAATTAACCATAGCTCGCCCTGGCCGTTTCCCCCTCTTTTTTGTTTCTAATGCTTGTCTGCCAACGGGCAACGATCTACGCCGCGTTTGTGGGGGAATGGGAAAAAAGCCAACGGTAGGTTAAGGCTGGCCGAGACGGACCAGTTAGCTTGGGGGACGGGAATACGAGAATAGCACCCTCCATGCTACGTCATGTTCAACGGGTGCACCTCCGGCCATACCGACTTTTATGCGGATAATGACTGCAAGGGCTGGGATGGAGTCTTTTAGGTGCTATAGCGTGGGAAGGCGACTGACGATCTTTTTCGGTACGATGAAAACCTTGTGATGTTGGTCGGATACTTAAACCTGGAGATGTTCCCGTCTGAACCATCTGAAAACCAGCCAACGCAGCAACATATCTCTTTCCGCTTAAGCGTACCCGTTCATCTCATCTACCACTTCTCATCTAGTTCCTATTCATACCTGATCCTGGCCGATCCCATCACCAAATTCAATATCGCCGCCATCACCTCCGCCAGAATGCAGCTGCTCTCCGCTCTCCTCCTCCTCGCCCCAGCCCTCGCTTCACCCATTGCCCAGCGCCAGGAGGGGCAAACTTGCGGGCAGAAATCAACCAAAGTCTCCGAGTGGACGCTCACCAACTTCGACTACCACGCCAGCTACACTTTTAGCACGCCCGCACACCAGAACTCGTGGGGCTACATCAGCTTCAACGTCTCGAACCCCGTCCTCGACTACATCATCTCTTGCAGCGCCGCCAGCAGCCGCCTCAGCGACTTCTTCTACGGCGACCAGGTCTACACATGCAACCCGCCCGAGGGCGAGAGTGCCGCAACCTCGTTCACCTGGAGTTACCCAAACGGCGCCCTCACGCTGAACCAATCTTGGACTTGCAATGATGATCCCAAGTATCCGTAAGTTTGCCCCCTCTAGTTCATCGCTGGAAGTTCTTCCCTGTATACAATAGACATAAGCGGCGCAAGAATTCCGGCTAACCGAATGTCATGACAGTGCTCGCTACACTGCAAAGGGAGACGCTGTCGCTGATCTCAAGTGCGATGAGACTTCCTGGCAAAACGACAACTGGACCGTTGGACAGATCTACTCCCAGCGCAACATCAAGTGCGGCATCATCACGCTGCCCACCCCCATCAAAGAGATCTACGGCGTCGCTTAAGTGCCACGATCTTCTGTCCGCGGGGATCCAAGCGCAGCGCGTGCGCACGCGAACTCTCCTTACCTATTGACGCTTTACAAGACTTTGATGATCACCATTTCGCTTGCGCGTCACTCCTTTACGATACAACAAATTTTTTGCATGGTTTCGGCGCCTGAGGGAGCGATCCGGCTAACGATCTTTAATGGGACATGAATGATTTACGACAAATTCCGGGGTTGTCGGACATATAGAGTAGCATATGGAGAAATCCTGCATTTAATCAACTAATTCTGCTTCTCATACGTCCTTTCTTGATTCAAGAGTTAACCAAGTTATTCGCGTTTGAATCCACGAGTATCGATGCTGTCACGATCGCACAAGGAACCTGCACCGAGTATACGCATGGCGCAACCTTCCTGGGCTTCAAGATCCGGCTCCGAGCATCTTGAAGTGTGCCTCGTAGTTATTTCACAGCATGCCTGCACGGTTAGCAACGCGAAATTCCCAAAGATGCAGGCAGTAATCAGATGATAGAATTCATTCCAACGACGCTACATCTTTTTTTCTTTGTTTTCAAACAGAATGATTTAGATTATTAGTGATTCGCTAACAGAGTTCCTTCGACGCTTTGCAGTCGGGCCTGCTGGTCTTCGTAACACTAACTCAGTTCCCCTGGCTCTGAAACTCCAACTCTGTCCAATCCCACAAGTCTTTCTCTGCCTTCTTATCATAAAGGACTCCTTCCTTAAACTCCTTCAGTTTCTGATTGTAGAAAGCCCCGCTCTTGACACTCTCCTTATTCGCTGTGCTTGCCCACAGTTGCGCTCGTGCGCCTGCTTGAACGTCGGTCATCATGACTGAGCCGGCTGCGCTGACAAGTCCACCAAGCCAGGGGTGTTTCTTCTTGAAATCATCAAATATACCGGTGTTCACGACTCCGGGATGAATCGCAACAAATTTTACCGAAGGATAGAGCTGACTCAGGGTGTGAGTATGGTAGTAGTCTGCGAGTTTGGATTGGCCATAACGGGCCAAGCTCGAAACGTCTTCGAGAGGAGTCTTGCAGCGGGAGAGGAGGATACCCTCTTTGGGTGCCTGTTTGAAGAGTTCGGAGCTCAAGTTGACCACGCGAACATCGGCAGCATGCTGTTCAGCTGTTTTAACAATGATTGGGAGCAACAGCTTGGTGAACAGAGCAGGTCCCATGTAGTTTGAACCAAAATTGACTTCATATCCGTCGATTGTGATTCCCGTAGTGGCAGATGCCAAGCCTGCGTTGTTCATCAGGATATCGAGGCGGTCGGACGAGCCCAGAAAAGTGTTGGCGGCTTTCTCAATCGATGCAAAAGATGCCAGATCCAATTCGAGAAACTTGATCCTATCTTTGGCCGCCGGGACAGCTTCCTGAATCTCCTTGATTGCGGCTTTCCCTCGTGCTTCTGTTCTAGCCGTAAGGTAAATAGTCTTGGGGTTGTGCTTTGCGAGCTGAAGTACGCTCTCCTTGCCTAGACCGCTGCTGCCACCAGTCACGATAATGACCTTGCCGGCCAGATCCGGTATGTCGTCCTTTGGGGAAAACGGCATTGCACCTTCGTAACTTTGTTCGATGTGTCGAGAGGAAAGAAATACTGGAGGAGAAAGTCTACAACCCTAATTTCGAGCAGCGTACTCTGCAGAGGAATGGCAGGAAGAGTGAGAAGGTTGTGAGATAGAAATTGGGACCGCAACTGCATCTTCATTTTGGATGGTACAGCAAGATAAGTACTTGAACTAGATACGTCACCTATGGCCTACAGAAGCATCTAGGTGCGAAACCCATCCCGTCAAGGCTGACAAACGTGAAGAATGGACGGAAAGACTGGATCGTGAAGAAAACTATCGTTCAATAATCAATTGGAATTTGCTTCATGGTGGTCTAATGCTTCGGAAATCAATGGTCCGGCAGCCGGAGGCGGGGCTTGCATTGCCCCGACACGGTCTGTTGCGTGTGCACTGGTTCACTAATCATCCAAGGTTTGAACGCAGCATCATCGGGCTCAATCGGCCGTATTAGTTGCAAATCCCGGTGGGATGAGCTAGCTGCAGCAAGTAAAGCTTTAGAAAATACGCCAGAAACTTTAGATTACAGTGACGTGCCAAAACTGTTAGGAACCCACCACCACCCTTTTGCGTCACAACGCCTCTGCCACGAGACAAATCCCTTCCTCTCAATTACTATAACTTTGGCAAATGGAGGCTAATTCGCGAGATTTAGTACTTCATTAACGGTAAGTTCTGGGACAGGTTGTAAGCTTAGTTTTATTGAGTGTTAGCCGTCTTAGCGATTAATGTTTGCAGCCTATCTGAGACCGCGATTGCAGACGCGTGTAGCTTCGCGCGCAGCAACGTTTATCATACCCTTCAAAGTTACAAGACAGACAATACCCTTGAATCAAAACTTTGGAAAAGGCGATAGCTGACACTCTCACGTTGTTAGCAAGAGCTCCTCGTTAGAGCTGTCAAAAATGACCATTAGATCTAGCTCTAGCATCTGACACAAGATATTTCAATAGTAATATTACAGTTGAAGAGTGCTATTTCTTCTTGGTTCCAGAATATGTTATTGACGTGAGATCAGGGAAACTGTCAATGGTACTTAATTTTGTCACTTGTATAACGAGAGAATTGTATTACTCCCAAGCACGGCTTGATGAGAAAAACACTCTGTGAACAACCTAGCTTACACCATTCAATGAGATACCGTGTAAGGGATTCTATGCTACAGCTGGCTAAAGTATCAGAATAGAACCCAACAGCCACAACAATGAACATTGTTTTCCCATACAGGGAAAGCAAAACTTGTCTGGAATACTACGGGAAGTACACGTTGCGAGCATCCACTGACTGCCACCTCAATCGTTCGCCAATAAGGTAAAATTCGCGCGCATGAGACCTTGCGCCATCACTCACGAGCCATCATTAAGGCCCACAAGCTTGTTTGACTTTTCCCAAAGCTCCTTGGCCGGAAGCTCATCGTAAATCCATGGAGCGTATCCAGGCACGGTTTTAGACGTCATGTCAGCAGGACCCTGTTCGACAAGGTCGTTGAGGTATTTGCCACCTCGACCCTCCCACTCTTTGCTTAGCGCAGCATATGTGGTTGTAGCCGCTCCCTGAGAGACGCTCTTTACGGTCTTTTGTATCGATTCATTTTTCAAAAGTGCCTCCTTCTGTTCGTTTGGGAGGTATTGTAGCAGGTTCGTGGCAATGATCCCTGGATGTAGAGAGAGGGCGTGTAGCCCCTTGGACCCATAACGTCTCTCGACTTCATTAGCGAAGTATATGTTGGCCGTCTTAGATCGTCCGTACGCATGCCAAGGCTCGTAAGGGTCCTTCTCAAAGTTGAGATCGTCAAGACGGACATTGCTTACGCGGTGGGCCATAGATGACACAGCAACGACGCGGGACTGGAACTCGGAAGTAGAGGCTGCGAGAAGCGCGGGCTTTAATAGTTGGAAGAGGAGGAAATGGCCCAAATGATTAGTCCCAAAGTGAGTCTCAAAGCCATCTTCCGTCTTGCCCTCTGGCGTGGCCATGACGCCGGCGTTGAGGATAAGGAAGTTGAGTTTGTCGTTCCTTGAGAGAAACTCTTTGGCAGCCGAGTGCACCGATGTCAAAGAATCCAAACGGAGCTCAATGGCGTGCACAGGTGCATCAGACTTCGGCCCAGGTCCGTTTTTGACACTGTCGACGGCCTGTTGGGCCTTGGTCGAGTTTCTTGCCGTGAGAAAAAGGGTAGCACCTGTCGCGTGGATGGCGCGTGCCGTTTCAGCACCGATGCCAGTGTTCGCGCCCGTTATAAGGACAACTTTTCCAGTCAGCTGGCCGATGAGTCCTTCGTCCTCAACAACTTGGAGGGCTGTAGGGCGTGCATCTCCGGGACCTTTGGGGTTGGTATGAGAAGCGGCGTATCTAGACATCACGACTTGATGCTGTTGTTTTGGTCCACGTCTTTTGCGGCCTTTCAAGGGGACGATCGCAATGATGTGAATTAGATTGTTGAGCTGCGTTTAACTCCAGATAAAAGAAGCCTGAGCTTTATAATCAGCGGAGGGAAACCCTCAGACCGTCCGAGTCTCCCGGCCGATGCCCTTCTTGGCTCAAACTCAAAATCCTAAAAGCCAGCATTGATGCGATGATTTTTACTCCAAGCTATTTACATGCGTAAGGTTACCTCGATCGGCAAATTTCAGACCCCGATGAAACCAGATGAAAAGACAAGTCCTACTGGAAAAGGCACAGTCGACGATGCGCCACTTTAGTTAGTTTTCAAGGCGTATTGCTCACTGGACAGGATATTCAGTGTTCACGGCATTAAGGACGGCGGAGACATTTTATAAAGCTTAGGAGGACGCGAAGTGACTCGTCAGAAACTTTCACAAAGTAGTTAGGATACGTAGGAGATGCGGTACTTGCAAACTTCCTGCATAAACTCAAGTTTGGGATGAAATATCAACCCGGTTAGTTTCTTTCCAGATTGATAAGGTTAAGTGCTTACAGACCAATTCCCACTCCACAGAAGCTGCACTCTCTGTTCCGGGACTACCTGCAGCACCTCATGGATTGAAGTTGTGAAACTCTTGAATCAATTTAAAGATGTCGGAAGTGTCCAGGGCTGCGTAAAGTAAGACATCAGTGTTCGAACAGTATCTGCGAGAAACCTGTGTCAAGCCTGTAGGTAAACCCGAACCACTATGATATATATATATACACAAAAAGTTCTTCACCCTCACGTCCATAGCACAAGTACCTTGTCAAATGAGTTAATATGGAATATTACCTAAAATGGCCTTTTGCCACTATCTGATCATGCAACGCAATAGGTACTTGTACTGTTCATCTAATCTTCGGCACATTGATGATTTAGCCAAGGGTCTTCCATCAGCTCTCTAGCAGACAGCCTATCTTCAGGCCTCCACTGAACCATCTTTCTTAGAAAAATGAGGAACTGCTCTTTCTCGAAACCCTCGAGGTTGCATTCTTCTTCCTCAAAAGAAGACTCTGGTATCTCGCCATCGATCATCAGTTTACCTGTGCCTCAGCGATTAGCATATATAATGTAGCTCTCTGATGAAGCAAATAAAAGTTTCACAAACCTGTTTCATCAAAAAGTTCCCGCCAAGACGAGCCCCTTTCCAACAGGTCATCAGGCGGTGGACCCATAAGCGACACCATTCTAGCAAAGTGCGCTGCTCGTGATGCTGTCCGATCTCGAAGCCTCGTGTTGAATAAAAGCTTGCCTTCATACAAGTCCCAAATCTTTAGAGACGATGTCAGCAGATATGGGGAAGCCGAAATCTTGTTTCTTACCATAAGTCCCAGGGCCCAAATGTCAATCTTCTCATCCCAAGGCATTCCCAGAATGATCTCAGGAGCTCGGTATAAATCAGGCATAACCTGACCTTCGAAAGGCCCATCTCCAAATCTAGCATCACCGAAGTCGCTAATGATAGGATCGCCGGGATCGTCTGGAATCTCCAGCCCAGTAGACGCATAAATTGTTCTGTCACCCATGATCTTCCTGGCGCTAGGTAGAGCCCATTCAGCTTCTACAAGGTCGTCCAAGATGGATGTATTCGTAATTTCAAGCATGATGTTTCCATCTTGAATATCTGTATCATCTGTTAGTGACATTGTGTCACAGAGGTAAAATCTCTTAACTATTGGAACTGATCTCAGGCTCCTCACATACCGGTATGCACCACGTGTGCTTCAGAGTGCATGTGGTCCAGACCTAGTAGCAGTGCATAGATGAGGCCCTTCAACAGGTTTTCTGGAATTTTTCCGCCAGCAATTTCCCGGATATCTGCCAAAGAAAGCCCAAGTGTTTCGAAAACTAGACACACATGCGGTCCTATAGGACCTGGTACTTGAAAACTGGCCTTGATCGAACGTAGAAGATTTCGCCCTGGGTGATCAGAAGCAACCCGCCATAAGTGATCAAGCACCTTTTCTTCATTTGAAGCTTGGCGATGGCCCATTTCGTAGAACTTTAGAGTCACGTAGGAATGTGAGCTAATTCCTTGTTAGTCTACCCTACTCACCAAGTCCACGGCAAAGGAGTGCGAACATACTTTAGGTCGCGACATAGCCAAACGGTCGAGGCCGAACCGAAGCCCAACTTCAACAGCACTTGATACCGTGACTCAAATATTTGTCCGATTTCGACGGGGTACCATTTGTCAGGATTGTACCACGCGAAGCCTTGCTCTTCCAGTTGAACCTCCGGGCCATAAACCTCCTCAGGCTCAGCTTCTGGCAGCTGCCGAGGAGGTGAGTAGCTTCTTCTTGGCATCAGTCCGACCTGTTACTTTCGCAAGCGGTGAAGTTCTCATGGTGCTATCGCAGGGTTTGCGTGAAGAGGTTTTGTGGGGGGTGGTGGATGAGGTGCGGGCATTCCCACAAACTTTGTGTGACCACTGACAATCGCCGGTTGCTCCCAGCCACCATATTTTTTTGTAAACTCCAGGTGAACAGGGTTCAACACGGTTATGCTTCAGTGACCGTTTTGGTCTGCGCATATCGGGATCTCATTCACGGCACATTACTCTCAGCGGATACTAAGTAGTCGGTTGCACACAACATGACTTGATCAATTCGCAAGTATTTACAACAAAAAATAAAAGTTAATGCCGAACGCCGCTATTCTTCAACAAATAATGAAACATCTAATTATCCAACACCAGGGTTAACGGAGGCAATCGTGTACTGCAAGTCTCCCCCGGCCAGTTGTGGCCAAAGGACGTGGCCATTTTGCTATGGAAGTCTTGTGGGAGAAAGAATTGAGCAAAAGATCCGTGGCCCATTTGATCGGTCCGAAGTTGGTGTTCGTAGCGCTCCTTGGTTAATTCGGCTGGTGTAGCCACCGAGGCTGAGCACTAGGATATCAACACGGTTTGCGTTCGACATTCTGACCGCCACTTTGCTGACAGATTAAAGCAAAGTGATGTCTGGAGGTTAATATGTGCGTTGGGAATATGATTTCGGGAACTTGTTTGCCGTTAATAGGTTACGCGACTATGAAGTAAGCCAGAGCTTGATTGTCTTGTTGGCGGTCATGATACTCTTGCATGTATTAGGTGCTGTTGCACTTGTGTCTTTGGGACTAACAGAATACCATGATCTACGCTTGTTCTTCCGCGATTAGGTGTATCGTCATAATGCACACCGAAGGTCCAGGTCTGCAGCAACGGTAAGTCTAAGGGTTGAGGTTCGGAGCTCTTGATTGCCCAAGCAGTACTCAATATGGTAATCTTCTTCGTTGGGTACTCAGGTACTGCATCCTTTCACTTCAATGAACGAATGTGAGGCGTATCGCGGATGGTCAGCAGCTACGTGATGCTTTTGAGAATTTTAATGGCCACTGCGGAACTCTCCCTTCCAAACTGGCAACCAAAGAGAATATTCGCAGTTTTCTCATTGACTTCGACGGTTTCTCAAATAGTCCCAGTAGACTGGAAGATAAGATGTTCCATGCAGTGATTGAGAGAGCTGCAGTTTGCTTCTACAACAGAGCTACAACGCAGACCATGCTTAGAGAACAGACATGCCCTCCTACAATGCAGCGCGTAGCCGGTTATATTAGCTTCAAGAAGGATTGCGATACACAATGGAATATTGGCGACGTTGCATGCATATTACGGCCGTTTGAGTCACTTCACCGGGACGGCGAGCAAGATTAGGTATAGCGGGGGTTCGCGATTCAATCCTAGCGCCACTTGACCAATCCAAGCCTGCATGCAGCTATTAAGCCAACTCCTGGACAAGGAGGCTGAAAGATATAAAAGCATAAAGGTAAACGCCGAAATCGTAAGCTTTATTTGGAGACCGCCGAAAAAAGCCATCGACAAGAGAGCTGACACATTGGTTTTTCTTTTCCGACCTCAGATTTGGGAGGACACACACACTCCGAGGAGACATGAATCCTGTCAACACCAAACCTTACCACCTTCCACCTGACGCAACTTGGCTGAGTAAGTAGAATCTTTTCAATTTTCTTGAGAAGGAATTTGATACTGATATCTTTCCAGTTACCGGTTGCTCTTCGGGGATTGGTAAAGCCTTGGCTATGTTGATTGCCAACAAATCAGGACATCGCTTAATCGCTACGGCTCGGAATCCCTCTGACCTCGCGTACCTCTCTGATGACAACAAGAATATCCTGAAACTTGCTCTCGACGTAACCTCCGTGACTTCTGTCAACAGTGTCTTCAACGCAGCTAAGGAGCATTTTGGCAAAGACTTCCATCTTAACGTCGTGGTCAATAATGCAGGATATTCACTCTCAGGCGACACCGAGTCAGCCACCGAGGAGCAGACTCATCAACAGATCGAGACCCTCTTCTTTGGTACCGCTCGTGTAACGACGCGAGCTATTGCGAATATGCGTCAGTCTGAGAACCATCGAGGCGGCATCATCTTTAATATCTCGTCCCTTGCCGGGCAATGTGCTTTTCCCGGACATGCTTACTACCATGCCGGGAAGTGGGCCGTCGAAGGGTGGACAGAGTCGGTGGCAAAGGAGATGCATCCCGAGTGGAACAGTGAGGTTCTCTGATGTACGTGAGCTCAGTTCATCGATTGACCAATACGTTGCAGTCAACTTTTGCATCGCAGAGCCGAGTGGTGTCAAAACCAACTTCGAAGGTCATAGTAAGGCTCATACCGTACCTCATCCGGCCTACGCAGGGCCCGATATGCCTGCTCGCGTGCTCGAGAAGTATGTGGAAATGGGTATCAAGTCGGGCACCCTGACTGAGCCGTCGGCGATCGCGGCGGCAATCTACAATATTGCCAGTTGTGGTGAGCGCGTTCCCTTACGCGTTCCTCTCGGCGGACCCGCTTGGAACTTCATCAAGCAGAAGCTTGAACTCGGATTGGTGGACCTTGAAAATGTCAAAGGCATTAGTCTGAGTGTTCAAAAGAATTTGGGTGAAGGCAAATAAGTACACAATGCCCTTCCAACAAGCTGATTAGGGGTGACAGGATGCCATTTGCAAACAAACATGCAACTTTCTCCAATTCACTGCTTTTTACATTATAGGCTAGTCATCATATTCTCACCACGGACGATCTTGTTTTGGGTGAATGTAGAGAATAGCTGAATCTGGGCAACAAAAACCAATCTGATTGCCCAAAAATCTGACTGTGCAAGCCTTGTGCCTAAGAATATTACCATGTAGCTGAATCTTTGCCAGTATGAACAAATCGATTTTACCAGGATCATCCCAAGCACAGTGATTATAAGCATGACCAGCAATACTGGGCCCATTGCGGACATTGAACCACTTGCAGTTCAGTATATTGACTCATGGGTGTACATATTGTCTATTTGTGTTTTTGTAGGGTGTCAATAGTCCTTCAGTAATCGCCTGCAGGGCGACTACCATCGGGTGGCATGAAACCTCCCCCTTTCTACAAGGAATAGCTCTTACTTTTTCGGGACCCGACTAATGTCGCTTTTACTACTCCGTCAGTGCCCGCGAAAAAAAACCCACAAAAAACCAGGCTTTGATTAGTCTCCTCCTACGTCCTGCCAACCTCAACCGTGTATTCATTGGTGACCTGTATTCCCCTGTTGTACTGCGTCCAATCATCGGAACTGTGGTCGTCGGCAAAGGCAGTCGTTTGATTCTTGCCTCCTTTCAGGTTGACAATGTGTTCTTGGCTTCCGACAGATGTATCGTCCAGCTTTTGATGGCTTCCCTTGATACGCGACATTTGGTGTGTACCGCCACTCCCACCAAAAGTCACTAGTCCAGTAGGGTTACTGGTGTTCGAGGAACCCTTTTTGCGACTAGGGAAAAGCGGTTTGATCGACGGGGCGTTCGTACAAATGATAGCGACGGCCTGCATAGGAAGTGGTTAGTAATTGTCTAGCAATGTGATTCGCACCGTAGCTTACCGTTTCACGGATAGACCAGTTCAGCCCCAAGTCAAGTCGTTCAGGCGTGTGCAAGCATATGATGCATCGAAGTAAAGTGCAAATGATGATAAAGAAACCTGCGCAGAACATGAGGCCGAATGCCAGCTTTCTGGTAGCCTATGTTAGCATTGGAAGCTGGAAAAGGAAAGAGAAAACAGAAAGGAGTTCGTCCAGCATAGCGACTTACTTCTTCAGTGTGGTTTGGAGTCTCCATAACAACGGGATGGGAATATACATAATCATAATGTCGGTTCTGCGAGTGTTCAGTGAGCATGAACACTAAATTTCTGGCAAGGAGCAAGACTTACGCTACATTCGTCGAAACCAGAGCATAGTACTTCGAAGTGTTCTGCGAACAGTCATCTGGGCACCATCAGAAACCACAACTGGCCAACAAATGACACGACACTGAATCTTCTTCTGCTTACCTCCCGGATATGGGTACACTTGCCACAGCTTGTGCATTGGTCGACAATGACCAGTGATGACAGCGATAGTTGCCAAATAAGCAGCAACTGTCACGATAGACACCACTTTGACAAGACGCTCTTCCGGTAGGGTTTTGCTGCGGACTTCGTAATCAGTACCTCTGTTGACTACGGCCATTAGGGATTGTTCAAAGTTGGTCTTACGTGACTCTTGAAAAAAAGAAGAGCATGATGCCCTTTAAACTCCAGATCATGCTAACGTAAACGTACCAGGCAGCAAATAGCCACTTTGCTCCAGTTTCGTGACTTTCATATTCCTCCGGCGTCAATGCCAGGGCAACCTCGTTTGTCATTCCGGTAATGCTTCCTTTCTCAACTATAAAGATACCTGTTAATGACCCGATGCTGGTCAAAGATGAATAGCAGTATGAGCTTCACCAATGATTTGACACATCATCACCTCAAGCTTTGTCAAGGCCGTTAGCGGAGCTGGGTTCGAAGCAGCAAAATCCAAAGGCCTCTCAGGAACAACTTACTGTGAAGAAAATAATTGCTGCAACCGCTAAGTAATCATCTCCTTGCCATTTCCAGCCTACCACCCTGCTGCACCTGGTGAAGATGCGAGTAGATAGAACCAGAATCCCTATAGCATACTCAACCCACATCTCAGTAACTGCTGGCCAAAGAGCTTCGGGCACCATCTTCGTGGCTGTCGTGAGTCTGTGGACGACAACACTCTTGAATAGATGTAAAAAAACATAAAAGCAGAAAAGAAGATCTGAATTATAACTCGACTCTGGCCAACAACGCAGGCGATGTTCGTAGTTTCAGGAAAAGGGAAGCTCACGTTTAAGACGTTTGATTGCGTGAAGTTTGGAGACCTTCCTGGCTAGTAGAGCCGATACAGTTTATCCAAGCCTCCACCGGCAGTTGGACATGAACCAAGGCCCCAGTTAAGTTCCTGGAGAGAGGCGAATTTTATCGGGATACCGGCTACCTGATGCGGACTAACGTTGTAATCAAGGCCACAGACAGTTGTCTCAGGGGCTCAGAGAGACAACATTGATCCAAAATGCTGATTCGGGAGAGAGAAGAAAACCCTCCTTTCCTGCTTCTGTTCACGGCCGTTCAAGGTTCAAGTAAATTAAGAGGATTCACGCTGTCAAGATCGGCAAATACTCTGACTAATTCGTAATTTCTGCTCATTGCCCATGACTTAGCATGCTTGACATCAGTCCACCCAAGACAATACTAAACTACATGTACTATGCTCATACTGCGGGGAGTCCTGAGGCATCAATGTGTGATCATGGACACATAACTGCACAATGTCTACGACTGTCCGATGTTTGAAAGTATCGCTTGAGTTTGGATCTCCGCGTCAAGAGCGCCTATACAGCGACAAGCGGTTTATTTGATAGTGTTACAAGACGTCGAGCCATTTGGGTCCTGTTCACTTTTCCAATAAAAAAGCACCATTCTTTCTATAGTAAGACAAATCTCTCTCTTCGTGTTTTGTGCGCTTGACCTCTATGGACTGGTTCGGCCCCACCAAGATTGGAGGCATGGTTATTTGCCTCATCCGGGGAGTTGGGCCGGCAGGCAACTGCAACCCTTCCAAACTTTAATTATGCGAACTGACTCAGTCTCGCTGCCCAAGCTGAAGATTTCTCAGTGATTGCGAATGTATAGTGCCTGATTGAGCAAAAAAATTCTTACGCGTAAATACAGGATGAACATTAGAAGGGGCAGCAAGGATCAGTCTCCTACACGTACAAAATACAAGAACTATGTCTCTCCAGTTCACTTAATGCAGACATCATCGCCTATCACAGTGCAAAGATCATTTTCATACGAAGCCGCAATTAAAAGAGCCCACAGGACAGAATATCGTTCAATGTTACGGATAGAAATTGAAATGGGGAACAGGTAGGTAACCGGCAGATTACTACCACTCGATGGGACTCGACTCGATGGGCGTATCAAAGAAAGTTGGCAGTTTGGCCGTTTCTACATTTTCCGTCGAAAACGCGGGATGATTGTCGTAGGCGAGGAATCCTGTTCCATCGTAACACCCCACATACTCCGCGTCCATCTCCTGTCCCTTCAGCACCGCCACGTCAACCCAGAGCAAGAGATCGCCTCCCTCCATAACTCCACCAGGCCCGTATGCCGCAAAGAAGCCTCGTCTAAGCTTGACGTGGACCTTATCTGTCCGGCCGATGTGCTCCATCTTTGACAGGTCTAGCCAGAAAAGAAGCTGAGCTTGACGGATGTAGTCCAGCCCGGGAAAGATCCCGTGCCCATTGGTGGCCGTTCCGTTGGTGTCATTGATCAAGGCACCGTTTGTTGCGCTGTTCGTTGCTCCAGGCTGCTTCTCGCCAGCAAAAGCATGACAAGCTCTGGCAGAAAGCATTCCCTTTGCCGGGCCAGCAGTGACAACGTTGGTAACCCATTGCTTCGTCAAGCCATCAAAATTTTCATTCCAGTGGCTCCGCTCGTTGTCGTTCATGGCGCTGTAGTCCTGGCCCTCGACAACGAAACAGATATTGTCGGGGAACCTGGATACTCTAATCCTACCGGGTCTGACCTTTTCTGCGAGCTGTCTCGGCTGAGGCACCTCCGGCAGCGGGGACTCAAACTTGTCTTCGGGCGACTCAGGGGTTAAGCGCGAGCGGTAAGCACCCCAGTATCCCGTCTTCTCGGTAAGGGGGATGGGCTCTCCACAGTGGCCAAATCCGGAAGGTATCGGCTTGTTGGTTTCGTACATCGATCTGGTGGCAGGCAAGCTCACCGTTTCTCTCCAGAAGCCAGCGTTTCCCGGAAGAGAACTCCAGAAGGTGGAGGTTTCCGGACTTTCCCACCATGCCTTGAATGCCTGGGGCGATTTCCAGTAGCTCATCCAGATCTTGGAAGGCAGATCATTTTGCTCGAGCTCCTCGACATGAATCGCAGCGGCCTTGATGAGACCATCAAACTTATTGATGAGGGAGAGTTTCTCCGGCGATGGCGAGTCGGCGTGATATTGACACCCGAATAGTGACACAGTAAAATGATGAGCTGTGGGAAAGCGAGAGCGAAGCATGATGACAGTTGTACAAAAGTCATAGACTGGTGGCAAGAGGAGGGTGTAGGCGCTTGTGCAATCAGATGTTGGCCCTCTAGGCTTTTATAACGTTATAATCTAATCGTCTCCTGCCCGCAGATGAGAGGGAGTCGTTGGCAATGAAGATTATCTGTCTGGATAACTGGGAGATCCATTTACCTCAAACAACCCTGCCTGAAGACCCTGACTGTAGTCCGGAATGGGGTAAACATCTTGCCATTTACAAGGTGGTGCTCTTGGTGGAGAGAGTCGGCACGGAAGAGGGGGCGGAAAAGCTAGCCTAGGTCCTGAACGGCTCACCGCTGATCACCACCAGTGCAATATCTTCAAATGAGAGGTCAAGATGCGGGTCTGCTTGGACTTGCTAACTTAGTATTCGTTAAAACGGTAACAACTTCCAGTGCGCATTTTATCCCAGGGATGGGCCTCAGCTCCTTCTCCATGCAACCAGCATGATACGGGGCGGGCCTGAGTCAGCGGGAAATCACCCTCGAGTTAATATTGTTGTGCATGTGTGATTTAAATCAGGCTTGGGCACCGTTTGGTAAGTGGGATAGCCCTGCGAGACCTCGTGTTTAATGATCAAAGTCGTCGTTGACCAAGCCATGCAACAACTCACTGACCCGGATTGCGCTCGCTACAATGTCTTTCGCTGATCCAATAGCAGCGCTGAACCCTGGTAGAAAACAAAGTTTTGATGACCGAAGTCAAAAAGCGGCTATAGGCCACCATTAAATTTTATACTTATGCAAATTGACATGGTAATACTACATTAATTCAGAAATCTTTCGAGTGGTTCTTAGAAGTGCAGAGTATGACCTTTCATCATTGTCTTGCCAAGATCAGTCCCAAGGCATCATTAACGATGGTGGGAATAACATTGAGTAACTGTAAGTCATGATAAGAATGTGCTGGTTTGATCATTGATACTAAGAGAGCTACGTCGCACATCTGTTTGTGGTTTAACATGAAGATTTGACAAGAACGAGGACGGTGTCAATTGTCATAGATGGGCACGATAGCTCCCAAATTGTGCTTGGTGATGATGGAATATGAAATCATGTGACCAACCTCATTATACAAACATAGTTTGGCATTCCAATGTCTAGACCTGGTGTCGATCCGCTACAAATAAGTGACTATTGCCGCCAGCTCCGAGTTAGGTAGCATCGGATAAATGAACTATTGACTCGGGGAAGTAGAATGACCCGATGCGCTTTGGTCAGAAGCGGAACATATCCACATCAGACCGAAAACGTCGCAACTTTTCCCCACGATGACTTTAAGTTTATAAATTAATACCATGAATAAGCTTGCCTGTTCTTTATTCTATTTCGCATTCTACAGTGCTGCGATACTTTATCCGCTGTCTGCTTCTGCCCCTTCACGATGTCGTTGTGCTACTCGCCCGGCAAATATTATAGGCTGTTCTCTTTGTCAGCTCCGTAGCAACTGCCAGAAAATCTGTTCACGTGTCATTTCTATAACTTGAATTGTGTAAGACACTCTGTCTAAGTAAGAAGCTCTTGAGTTACAAATCCTCTTGAACTGACAGCCAATATAACATGCCCTCAGTTGATATTTACTTATCTAATCGTAACTGCTTGGAAAGATTGATATTTGAATAGAATCTTCGGTGTTCCTCGATTCAGCGTTGTGCTTTTGCGTCAAAGGCATTGATCTTATACAAAGGACGTGGTTAGATGTCTGACACTTCTGCAATCATATCGGTTTGATGAAAATGACATCTGATTGGGTAGGTGATAGGATCCCATGACATAAGACCACACATGTGTGAGTACGTATGGGGTCTTGTGCCGGCATGAAGGTGAAGTACTGGTGCCCGCTCTTGACTTTTGCGAAGAAGTTGGCTGCACTGTCGTTGTTACAAGCTTTCTTCACGATGCTTCTTACCTTGTTGAGGTCGCGGTCACATTGACGGTGGTAAATGTTGCTATGTCGCTTAAAGTTTTCCTGGCGGTGAATATCAGTATGGGAATCTTTGCGGGCAATTCAAAAGGTTTGGCCTCATGGATTGTACTGATTGCAGTCCAAGAAAACGGTAATCTTGCCTTTGCTCGAACGAATCATGAAGAAAAACCCATTGTAACCTACTTATGGATCTAATGAGATGACGACCGAGGGTCTCGGGAACTCCGTTTCTTGAACAAGGAAGAATTTTGGATGCTGCGGGACTCGGAAAGACACGGAGCGGTTACGATAACCTCTTGCTAAGGGTAGTGATCTACCACAGGCTTGTTGATTACAGATACAAGGAATAGACAAACTTGCGCATTATTGGTAATGAATGAAAGGAGGCAATGATACGGGGTAGCACGTTTAATTTGACGAGGATAGAGAGGATTTTCCAAAAGGCTTCTGAGACTGTGTTTGTCCTGTAAAACAAGGACCACGAGACAAATACCAGCATTAAGTATCATGGGCAGAACAAAGTCGCAGTAAGTGAAGATATAGTGAACACAAAGTCAGACCTTGAGTCCGAGTTGATTCAATGTTCGCGTCATTGGTCATTATCCCGAGTATTTAGCCCAGCCTGCTTGCACGACACCAGAGCGGCAGGTTATTCGGCCGCTCATCCGAGACTCAAGCGGTAATACACTCTGTTGTTCAATTGTAACTGCTCCACTCACCTACTCGCCTAGTCATGGCTGCTTTTGATGCGTTCGGGCAATGCCTGAGGTGAGCTCAGGTGAGCACCGGGTGAACAGGTATTACTAGAAGATTTTTATATTGGTTAACTATTATTTATATAATTACTAAAAGTCTACCTAAGCCAGGTTCCAGAATATCCATAACAGATCTGTCAACCGATTGGGATGAGCCTGTATATTCTTGCGGAAGGTCTCGTGGATTGGGCCGGCGTAGCCGCTCCAGTCAAAGTCGACGGCACGGTCGGGGAGTTTGACCATGGTTTCAATGCTGCGAGGGCGACGAAACTAGAGGCCAACGTGAAACATGAGGGAAAGAGGATGTCGATTGGTGTCAAATTAACTTTGTCGTAAGTGCTTTGGGTTGTTGGTACCAGCCACAAGATGAGCGAAGTACAAAATAAAGTCTTTGGCTCGCGTGCGTCATCGCAACAATCAATTTCTGCCGCAGCCTCCGACTTTCGGGAGGAGTTTCTGGGCAAACAGGCCGCCCCGTGCTTCACCGTGGTGAGCAAAAGCCGGAGGGAAGATTCTTATTGGTGAGTGGCCGTTCCAAAGGCAAAGCTATAAGAGGGAACATAGTCACCTTGCAGCAATTGCTTCTTCAAAATTCATCCATCCATTACATTGAAACGTGTTTGTACCTCGCAGGCACCGTAGGTCATAAAGCGGTCATGACGGTTGTGTCCATGAGTATGTCTCGGCAGAACATGGGGATGAAGAAGCGACCCTGACAATCAAGGTGAAGTGTGGCCTCGACGTCAATCAGTCACAAGCGCAAGTGAAAGCGACGTAGTATCTATACAACATATGGAACACCACCCTCTACCTCTCGCTCCTCGCCCCTTTGTGTTCCTCGCTTATCCACAAAAACTAAACCAATGGTCCCCGACAAACGTCGAGTCCAAGTGTGTGCCGAGAAGGGTCTACTGTTGGTGGATGATGGTCGTGTCGTCGTGTCGTCGTGTGCACTGGGACGGAAAGGTCTAGGGTGGAGGTTATAGAGAACGAAAGGTTAGACATGGAGGTTTTGTAGGCTCGTCAAATCATCATGTACCCTCGTGGTGGCAGGTCAGCTTCTTTATGCCCTTTGCCTCACCATCCCCCACGAATAATTGACACGGGATGTCACAAGACGAGACAGGTCGTTGGAATGGAGCTGGGAAGGTGTGATCATTCAGAGTGGGAGACAGGCAGCGAAAGAATCAGTTGTCACCTTCCCCGGATGCGCAGGAAGCTGTAACTTTCTGGGAAAAGCTACACGAAAGTGCGTAGCAGGCTGTTAAGGACACTTGGCCCGCCTTCCCAGACAGGACCTCCGCTACCGAAGCATGGCGGTTGATTTTCTAGGTCGGGCGGGATGACCACTGTTGCTACTTTCAGACAGACATCGTCACGAGCAACAATTACGTCACTTCATCCCCAGCGACACCGTATGCCTCGTATCTGCTAAGCCGCATAAGTTGGGAAGGATTTCTCCTGCTTTTGTTAAGAGTCTTCCATAGCCCCTGCTGTTTACGTGCGGAAACCTAAGCATTATTCCAATAAACGATATGACTTGCTGCCCCGGAATCGTGACGAGGTCGCAAAAAGGAGTTAGATTGCGTATCTTACTCGATAAATTGATTCCTAGAGTTCTTGTCTACGCGCGCTGCCCATCCAAGGCGATTTAAGTATCAAGGCAGGCCCACCATAACATAGCCAGCCACAGGCCGGGTCAGCCCGTCCCTATAAAATAGATGAAAGCGTAGGCCTCAAGACTGCGTTGAAAGGCAGGCAACCTTGTGACAAAAATGGCAAAACGTAGACCAAAGATGACTTAAATGCCTAGCAAGAGAAGCTTCACAAGACAGATGCTACGGTTGGAACTCAATATGCAGTCTTGGTTGTTGGGTTCGATCCCCAAGAATTCCGGGATGCGTGACGAAGCCAGTATCCATCTCAGGAGGACGAGAATGGTTTGTGTAGGAAAGTGTGAGATAATGGTGCGTGCGAGTGAAATGATCATATGTGCGAAAAAGGTGCCGGGAAAACTCCTAGGGAAGTGATGCGTCGCCACGACCATTCCAAGCTACCGATGCGGCAGATCAGCTCGCCGATGGTCATGTTGGCCAAAAAATCCATCGTTAGGTAGTCTCGATACAGTCTGGTGAGAGGTGCAAGGTAACAGGCTAGCGGGATGTTCCTGATTTGGTTGGATATCGACTTTGGTAAGTGCTAGGCCCCAAGGGATTAGAATCCTAATCTAGAAATTTATAAACACATAAGCTGCCCCTAGAACCTTCCTGAAGAGGGGGCCTCGTTCTCTGGCTTGCTTTTTTTTACATGGGCTAGAGTTACTAAGGTCCTTACTACCCTATTGGTCGTGAAGGATATTTTGTGGAAGAGTTTAGCCTAGAGGATTAGTAATCCAAGCTCTGAATGAACTCTTAACGTGTTAAGTGCTAGGTGATGCACTTTTACTGCCTCGAACGTTGGGTCTCTGACTCGTCTGTATGGCTGAGCAAAAGTATACTTATGGTCTTGCTAATCGTACCTTGTGGGATCCAGTGCCCATGTACATCACTTTGAGACACCACTTGCCGGATGCATAGAAGAGACTACTTTTCTTGCCTCCTCATTCCCATACTTTTTAGGATGTGACATATGGCTGTTGGCTGCCCACTGCCAGGATCCAGATTCTAGAATGGGAAGCCACCACTTAGCTGGCCACTCCTAGGATCGGTTTCAGGCCAAGCCTCCCGACCAGATTTCCTAGGCGACAGGGATGGGACTTACTGTCTATTCCCAGGATATAGACTGGGATTGAACAAGGATCCAGATTTCCTGGGGTGTTGACTGGCCAGGATCATTTCTAGGACGAGAAGAAAGGGCCGTGGGAAGACGCCACAGGGCTGGGATAAGGCCGATAGACTGCTGAAAGACCTTCAAATAGACAATTCTACCTGTTCCAGTATGCTCATATCTCGTCACAAGGCTTGCTATCCTACTCCCCGCTCTATCCATCCTCCAAGGGTGTTTCATTGAGTTATTTTCTTCTTATCTCGGAATGTAAAGCCAGTGAAGTGACTCATGGAGTACATCAACTGTCGACAATTGGCGTTCTTAGGTCTTTTATGGTCGCAAATCAGCATGTAATTTTGTGATGAGTCATATTCGCAAATTATAGATATTGTCACAACTCAAACTCATTTAATGGGAATTTCTGAATTGGGTATCTCTAAAAACCATATTAAACTCAAAAAGTCAACCGTGCCAAGCCCTTTGGGGCTATCAACGTTAACTATAACTAACCAATCTCGAGAAAATTCCACCGTGACCAACGCCATCGCTATGCTTCCATCCCTCCCCATACTATTAGCTGAAGCCGATTTGCCAAGTCTGACCAACATAGACCCAATTAGAATTCATCGGGGACCGTGCCGGTCAGCTTAGGGTCAGCGAACTCAAGCTCGTCATCAGAGTCGAGCTGAACTTTGCAGAGGTCGTTAGCTCCTAGGTAAACTTATTCAATGCCGAGCAACTGCAACTAATTGTGACGTACTATAGCCGCTATCTGTGAGCTTATTCGCGACAGAGATAAACGCCTCGCCCATGAGGCGAACGTGCTTGACTTCCGCTGATCGAATTTGATCAACGAAGTCGAACTCAGCGCGGTTCAGGCAGATGCGCTTCGGTCCACGGTCAACGACAAGAGTAGGATCAGAAGACGCCGCACATTTGCGATCAGCTTTGCTCAGCTTTAGAGATGTACCCTTGACAGACGTCGAGGAAGCAGAGGCAGGAGTGTCCTCATCGTCCTTGTCAAAGACTATGAAGTGTTACTGAGACTGCAGTGTTGAGCGACAGTGAGCAAAACTTACCAAAGCTGCAGCGGGAGGCGGCGGGCGAGATGAAGCAGCAACCTCAAGCTCCGTTGTGTTCTCCAAGCACAACATAGGTCAAGAAATAGCCCCGACCAACACGCTTGGATTTGGGATCGCACTTGGTGCAGGGCGAGCAAACTTAATCACCGAAAACCTAATCAGGATTGCATCAAGGTTATGCTGACGCTTTGTATCGATGATCATCTGGCGTTGATCATCGAGCGTTGAACACCGGTGATCACAATAGGGCGAAGATCGAGCAACTGCTTGTGCTTTGGAAGAAATGGATGGAATGGATAGAAAAAATGTAATGGATATGAGAAATTCAGATCCAGGAACGGATGTGACATTTTGGTGCTTGACCGCTTGCTTGCTATTTGCAGAACAAGATAGGGGTTAGTGCTTGCTAACCTTGCATAGCCACTCTTGGCAAAGACTCCTATTTGTTGAAAACTGTGACTTTATACCGGCTAACTAGGGGACATATTACACGTTACTGTTAACAAAACCCATGTTTCAAAGATTCGGAACCTGTAAAGATGCCTGGCTCCCTGCTCACCTACTCACCCTGATCGCGCGACCTTAGGGCGGCTGGTGATCCGGCCGCACCTGAACGACAGAGTGGCGATTCAATAATCCAAGTTTTGTGTTCTTCGTCGAGTAGCTGAAATGAGCTATTCTTAAGCCCTTCCACCCATCCTTGCGACCACCATCGTGTTGGAAGGCTTTGTAGTATTATACAGAAGCATGTGAAAATGGCCAGTGACTCCTGCGAAGGATTTGGCTCTTGGAGTAGAGCGATGAAGTCGCCTCTATGATCGGAGACATTACTGATCCAAAAGAATGCATGGAGCATGTCCCTAGTTTCTGAAAACTCGGACAAAACTCTGAAGGTCAGGTCGAGCTCCTGGGCTGCGTGTAAGTAAATTGCTCGTTCTGAATCCGAGTAATTATCTTCAAGACGGCGTATCTGGTCAAGTAGAGTATTCAAGTAAGGGCCTTGTGAGACCTTTTCCCGACAATAGTACATCTCCATCATGTAGTTGAATATAGGATGTGTGAGGCTGCTACTGTAGTGGAGCGACTCGGACGCTAATGCGAAGTACCGTGAGCCTTTGAAGAAGACCATCCAGTCCGGGATATCCTCTTCGGTCTGATGCTCGCAGCCAAAAAAAGCATCTTTGGGATTCTCTGTCTGTGAGATGACTGCATAGATTGTGTCAGTAAAGTAGCACTTCGTTCAGTTAATTATTGCATCAACATACCGTAAAACATAATAAGAACAGAATGCAAAAAGAGATTCTCACGCATCTCAACATCTTCTACACAAGTCTCAGATTGAATGACTTTCTGGGCCTCCGTGGCTGCCACACTTTGATGGGTAAGCGCATGCTTGAAGAGTACTTCCTTCCGTTCTGGGGTGAGGAACCCCAGATGGACAGCAGATAGGGCAAGAATTGCCCGCATAACAAAGTCGCAGCGGAAGCCGACTTTTACTGCATTTCTGAGCCAAAAGGTTCGGAGCAAGGGACTACTTGTCAAAGAGTCGTACGTTGATATTGTCCAGTGATGAATAAGCTCCAGATCGAGCATACTCAAATCCAAAGACATGTCGGCAGGAATCGGACTAACAGGTCGCTCTGGCACCGGAGGCCCCACCGGCTTACTTGACGTTATCTCACATAGGATGTTTTGTTTAACACACTGGGTGCATTGCGGCCTCCGCTCATCACACTATCCGGGAAGACAAACGTTAGATGCCTTCCAAACCGCATATAGGGTAAGCTACTTGCTCAGCCAAGACGACTTACCTTGACCTTTCTTCTCTTGCATGGGGCGCAACCTGTGCGAACTTTCTTGTGAGGTTTCCTGGGCCAATGCCTCAACGTAGGTAGCCCTTCCATTATCCTATAAGTGTGCCCACCCAGATGGTACTTCAAGGGACCACCACGTGGATAAGGTGCATGGATGAGATGGCAAAGCCTGGGGTCCGTTACAGGCAGAGTGATGGATGCCAAGTGCCTGGAAAACTTTCCGAAATCTAAAGGAAGGCGGAAATGGGCAAATGAGAAACACTGTAAGAAAATTTCTATCCCGGAGAGGAGATCGCTTTGCGATACGGAGGTCGTGGGGAAGATTTCGTGTATCCTGAGTTGGAAAGGAGGTCCGTCGTCGCCGCTTCAGCCGCAGAGTGACCCGAGCGTAACACCGAAGGCCCCACTTCGCTCTCGCTGCGAGTCCGAAGTGGGACTACTCGATTGCAATTGGCGAAACACATGTTGGATATTCAACCCTGGCGGCGATAACATTGTGGACGAAAAACTGGTGCTGGCCTTGGACCATGAAGTCGATTTGCTAGCAGATCTTGTCACTTGGGCTTGATGGTTTTAAACAAATGAATGTCTGATCAGTAAAAGTCAAATGTGCTGCCGGATCTAATTCGTAGGTAAGTGTTCAGTTGTGTTCGTGTAGACGGAAAATCATCATTGGTCAATGGCAAGATCTTCACCGTGATATGGGATAGAGAAGCGGGTGTTTGGCCATTTCTGGTTTAGTACGGAGAATGGAAGAAGCCGGGGAGGTTGAGCCTATATCCTCGAACATTGTGACTTATGTGGACGTATCCCTAAATGTACATACCTAGGCGTTGTGACTTGTCCGTCTTTACCCATGGCTGGACCGTTTGGCATGGATATCAAGTGTGCTTGTGTTAAGCTAGGTACCCGCATATTCTTTCTCTTCTCGGTTGGACTGCATTGTCATGCAGAGTGCTTAAAGCCAGACTGCCGCACTGTCAGATTCTTTAAAGATGCCACACCACACTTCTTCCCTATTCAGATACTTTTCCCTTCAAAAGCAAACGATCTCGGCCCAAGCAATGTTCAGAATTTTATCTGCCCAACATACTCGATCTCTGGGATTTGGTATAAGAGTTCAAATCCGCGTTAATTCAATACGAAGCATCGCCACAACCAATCCCGCCTCTCGTAGTCAGAGTGTTTTGTCACACAGAAAACATCGAGAGGTCGCGCTTGCCACCGAGGAAAAGCCTAAGTCTTTGGCCCAACATGTTGTGTGAGTACTTTCCTTCTCCCTTTACGTTTTTGCTTCCAAGACTGATCAGGCTAATGTCTGGTAAACAGAACAACGCTCGATATAATAGCAAACTGGGCACGCCAAGGATCGATGTACCCGATGACCTTCGGACTAGCATGCTGTGCTGTCGAAATGATGCACATTGCCGGGCCACGATACGATCAAGATCGATTTGGGTTTATGTTTCGAGCCTCGCCACGTCAGTCTGACGTTATGATAGTAGCTGGTACGCTGACCAACAAGATGGCGCCCGCGTTTCGTCAGGTATATGATCAAATGCCGGAGCCGAGATGGGTCATCAGCATGGGAAGCTGTGCCAACGGTGGGGGATATTACCATTACAGTTATTCTGTGGTTCGCGGTTGCGATCGGGTTGTCCCAGTCGATATATATGTCCCTGGCTGCCCGCCAACAGCTGAGGCATTGCTTTACGGAATGTTCCAACTTCAAAGAAAGATGCGCCAGGGAAGAAATTCACGGATGTGGTACCGCAAATGAGTTAGATTCTTATTCTGCTATCATTTTTTGGGAGCATCATCTCATGGACAGGTTTTTGATTTGGCCCTCCGCCGTGCCCCACCAATCGCTACCCTTACCCTTGTGACCCCTCTAAGTACGTAAGAGTCATAATGAGCAGAAACAATCTACCGAGCACGAAGCACGCTACTCGTGATGAGAATCTACCCTCTTGTATCTGGGGCGTTTATTCATCTTGCGAAGAGACTCTGGGAGGATGTGATGAGCTTGCATCACAGTAGACGTGTTTGTGCGACTGCATGGAAGCCCGGATTGCTTAGTAGTCTCTCCGAATCGAACCAAGCACCTGCCATGCAAATGAATTAGTTCATCTTCTAATTAGCCATGACTCCTTGTAATATATGGTACACTGATGTTTTTCAAGGCCTCTGCAAACAATGTAGCTCTTCCTTGATGACAACTCCCATAAGCTCAACTCCACCACTCAAGCCCTTTTCCACCAGTGGGTTGCATCAACCTGTTGATCAGATGTATATCGTTGGCGCTGAGATTTCAGCTGGGATCATTGTTTAGTTGGAATGGACTTTCTGAAGGTGATGATTTCGACATCGGAGACGAAAACAACACGATAACTGATGGTGACACAATCAAAATCAGGGATCCGTCTATCGAAGTGACTAGTATCAATTTTTACTCTAGAAACATGTCTGACGTTGGTTAAGGCACTAGGAAGCTTGGCGTGCGGATAAAAGAACAGAAATGAACGTCAGATTGAATTTGCGCTTTACGATCGAAGATAGACAAACAAGCGTTAGGGGTGTCAAGTGGCAGACTTTTCCATTTCGGATACAAAGCTGTCATGGAAGTAAAAAATCAATACAGAGTCTTGTAATGTTCGTTAGTCAGTTCATTGACTTTGGAAATAACTGATGTAATCCCCCGCTGTCTTTCAGCATCTCAACAGGTAATCGGTCTTGGACCAGGCGCTAAGTATGCCTTCCCGCCATTGTTCGGAGCACCTCCTGTTCCGTAGATGTTGATCAAAATTGACGGATCACTTTGTTGATAAGCTCCCGGGAAGCTGACTGTGGAGCTCGGCGAGAAGGTTCCAGTACCAGTGACCTTGATGTTCGCGCACGAGATGTAGAATTGGGCGCCTTTCTGCGAGTATGCCGAATGAAGAGCCAGCAGCTCAACGCGCAAAAGATATTCGCCAGGCGCGATGCATTGGGGTAGGTTAAAGTAGCTCCATCCACCGCTGTTGATCATCTTGTCAACAGCCCATTGGCCGGAACCAGTGTCCAAATTTTCTTCGGCGACCTTGAACCACTTGAGACCCGTGACGCCACTGCTTGAAGCGCTGGGTACCTTGGAAAGCCAGGCAGTGATCGGACCCTTGTGCGACTTGGCGATTGGGTTATCTGGGTCTCCGGGGAATTGAGCGCCGCCAACAACATGTTGCCACCAGGCACCTATCTTGTCGCCCGGCGCAACGGTAACGACTTCTTGAGAAGAGGTTGCCACCTTGCCGCAAATAATGTCTTGAGAGTTAACATCATCGGTTGGATTGTTCTGGTTAGGAGCTCGAAGACCTGCAAGAGAGCCGTATTCTTTTCCGTTCACTGACACTTTCTACATGACTATCGTCAGTCTCGTAATCAGACTCAAAAGTAACACTCACCTGAAAGATGCAGTGACCGTAAGCCATTGAGGCAGATGTAATCATAGAGACTACTTCGAGCCTCATTATGAAGATCCTAATGATGAATTGAAGATCAGGTGGCTGCGCTATCAGAAGAGAAGTTAAAACTTGAGATATCTAGGCTAGGTAGTCCGACATGAAGCTTCTGAGACATCTTTCGTCTATATATACACACACTAATTCTAATGAGACACTGGGCGAGTCAAAGACTCAGACTGTAGCCCCAAGCCAGGTCAATGGTACCGTTGCATGCCAATACTATCATCGCTGAAACAAGACTAGCAGAGAACCTTCTGGATCCAAACGCCATAATTCACGTAAAATCTGCCATCTTTGGAAGAAGGCCAGCGGCCAAGTTCAAAGATCGAGTAAGCTCAATATCCAAAAGACGGAAGAGATCTTGGGGAGGGAAAGGTATGTCGGCTGTTCAGCTCATGTAGATTGCCCTGCTCCGGTTCAGATCTTATGTGATTGGGCACAACGGAGGCTTCCTCCCGGTGCATTTAAACTCTTCGTTCTCCTTGGTGAGACGAGTATTTAGGCAAAATACATCACAGCCGTGAACCATACCACCATCAATGTCTGACACGGATGGTTAAAATAAGGCATAGCGGCCTCAGGATCATCCATTTCATGAAAACACTGGGATTAAACTTATGGATCACTGCATAAGTGCTTTGTTGGCTTTTGATGAGACTGAAATTGCCTCGGGAAGAAATCCCGAGTTGCCGCCTCCGCGCGAATGGAACAATTCCATTGGTTCTTGCAAAGCCCCTTTTCGCTTTTTAATCAGTACCCTGAATTACTTTGCAGATGGTATGCTTGCTCGATAAGGTCGATAAGTGTCTGATTAAATGTTTGGTATTCAATACCCAGCCTTTTTACTGCGGCTTCATCCAGGCCACGCGGTGCGCCGATCGTCTGGTCCTCATGAACAACCCTGTCCTTACCCGGGCTGAGAATTTCGAAGGCCACGCTCGCTCTGGGGATTTGAGAGCACAGCAGTATTTGAGAGACGAGTTCGAGTGGCTTCGCAAGTATTAGTAGACTGAAAAGCTTGCTTTGAATAAACGATGATTCAATTTGGGCAGAGAGGTTGATTAATATCTCTATTGGGCTAATAGCAAGTTTCTAGGTGACTCCTAGAGTAAACTAGATCCCATGTGCTCGAAGTGCGATGACAGCAACAATGGATCTCATGCCAAGTCAGATCCTTCCAACATGTCCATACCTCAGGTCTCCATGTTGTTCGTATCGCCTGTATCCTCTGGCAAGATGTAACTCTCATCCATGAATCCTTGCAGGCTTGTTGGAAGTTCTTCAGCAACTCTTTTTGCTGAGTCCCATGCATCGTTCAACTTTATAGTGCTACCCACAATCCCTGCCTTCAAAGAATGGAGATTCAGGCTGAGGGTTGTGTTGTGCTCGTGTCCATCTGCAAAGGTTTCTGATTGCTTTTGAACAAGCGTTCGGCAATTTTCAACGAACTTATTCAATCCAGCTCCCATCCAACTGACGAGGTGGTATTGCGTGCATTGTATGGACTGTTAGATCCCTGCAACTTTCATACGTTGTGGAAAATCTCTTCCTCGTTGATACGGAGATGGTAATGGTACTTAGTCGCCACCTTGCAGAAAAGTGCACGCATATGCTATCATCGTGTGGTCATAGTGTGGCAATCCAACGAAGCCAGCTTGAATATCTGGATCGTTGACGATGAGGTGAAGTGTCAATCTAGCGTGCTCAATCATCCTCTGAGCAAGCATGTAGAACTCCGTCGGTATCGGGTCATCGACCGGGTTGGACGAAAGTCCTCGAAAGACATGGGAACCAATGAAAAATTTCATGAAGTAGTAGTGCAGACGGAGATTCTTCCGAGAGAATTCTCCGACTTGACTGTCGATGTCGCGTTGGGCTGTGAAGCACATGATTCACAGTCAACAACAGGCGCTCACACCTATTTCAAAGTCACCATGAACTTACCGTCGTATCGAGAAGTCCACAGACTTGGCCAGTGATCCACCTGTAGATATAATTCCTCAAGCTGCTTTTTGAAAGGTACCGACGTGCGGATGTCATCGTTTGAGCTGAACACATGAGTGACTTTCTCCAATATCGAAAGCAGATCCAGCTGACTAGAAAGGCGAACGTCGGTGCTTGAGCTGGGAATGGCATCAAGGTACTTCCTCCATCCTGCCACAGATGATTGATTGCCAAAACTTGAAGGTCGGCCATAGAGAATTGACAGGTGATGGTCGCAAACGTAGAACAGATACGCTACCCTCAAACAGCTGAGTGCATCTTCCCGGTTCTTGAGCCCTATGCTCTTGGAGAACCGGTCATCGAGTCTCTCGGCACCCGTAACAATATCAAACGACTTCTCGATCTGGAATTCGATAGCTCGACGAATGGCGAGACCGAATACTGATCATGAGACATCACTCAGCCAGAATGAAGCAATGCACAAGCCCTGAAAATCGTATAGGTTCACGCGCTTCTTGAACATGAAATCTGACACGAGCTTCCAAAGTCAAGCACTGTAGGCAAGGTATAATTGCTCACCTCCGGGTTCATGAAGAGCCGAGACTGTGCAGATTGCCACGAATAAGAGGGAGATGCGCGGCGCACGCTGTCTAAATTTTCAAATCGGCTTGTGATCCCATAGAGTTAGTAGTCGGTTTACTCTAGGAATATCTTGACTAGACGCTCAGCATCACTCCGCTGAAGGTTGCCTTCGGTGATTAGATCTTGAGGCTCTCGTGCGGACAGCTGGGTTGCCGTAGGAACCGAAGGAGGAGACCATTCGCATTGAGGAACCTGAGTCTCGTGATTTCATGCAAGGAGCTGATGGGTGCTTGACTCAATGGCTCGACGAGGTGGTCTTCACTCTGTGCACATAATGAATCGGATTGTTCCTCCATCTCTTGATCCTCATCATCGATGAAGGTGCCAGTCTCATCCGCATGCAAGCCTTCACATTCGGTCTTTCTGTCAAGGAGCTTTTGAGGGGCGCGAGCAGCGGTTGAGATCCCTGTTGTAGAATTCTATTGATCGCTGTGTGCAGAATGCGAAGATCATCCACAATATCCGATCTTCACGATACATTAGCGGCGCAACCCATCAAACATGAGGCTCGGGCAGTCGAACCGATTGAGGCCTGCATCATTGGCCCTCGGCTCGATCTCTCGAGCTGGCCGTCTGGAGACGCGCTCGATGTTCTTTTACCTACAATGCTGGCATGGCCCATCCCGGCCACTTGTCAAGCATCGCACCTTCAAAGGGAGGTTAGCGACGTACTAGCTGAAACGTCTCGCATGCCAAGTGATCGGGGAGCCTGCACGCGCCTTCTGCTTTTGACAAGAGGAGCAAGCTTTCATTGGGGAGCTGTACACGGCCCGGTGCAGTCTCTCCGGCTTCTTGCTGTGAGATTCCATCATGAGTGGAATGTCTCCAATGTCTCAGAGAAGATTAAGTGTGGAGGGAAAGGTGTGAGGCGCACGGCTTGCGGAGTTGAACGCCACGTTGAGACCCCGTTATGCTGTTAAGCAGAATATTCCTATAGAGACATTTCCTTGAACGACCTAGTAATGAGTCTTAGTGACCTCCTCCCTTGTACCCAGCTCTCCCTGCATCCAACATGTTCATCAGATTATTGCCGCTGTACTTCTTGTATCTTAATGAGTGCGCAGTGGTTCTTGCGTCTTTCTCGCTAATGTTAATATGACAGTGTCGAAAGAGACACATTAAGGCATGCTGTACGCAAAATGAGATTAGGTAATAAACAAATTCAGCCAAATTCATCAGCTCACCTTGAGAAAACGGCGTACTCGAGTCTGCTTTTTCGTCAAGGGACTGATTGATTCACATTAGATACTTAGGCCCCGGGACCCGATATCTTTCAATGGCCGGAAAGAACATGAGTTCAGAATCCGAAACCGAGCACCCGAGTCCTGACTTGCCAACGTACGCTCGCATAAGCTAACTTAGTGAGAGACACAGACATTCCACATCTCTCAACTTCCTGTCAACATCGACGTCTAAGCGACCTTCAGGGCGCCAAAGAAGAATGCCGTGTAACCGACTCGCAGGATTTATTTCAAAAGAGTTCAAGTCCGTTCACTTGTGCTCACCTCTCCGCAAGTCGACTTGTTCCCATCCCAAGTTGACGAGCAAGGCAGAACACGTTTTGCACCGTAGACTCAGAACTGTAATTGTAATTTACCATAGAGGTTACGTGATAGGAACTGCAATCACGATATGCTACGTAAATTAGGTTATGGACAAAATTATCCAACAATTTGGCTCGGGCTGCCCTTGACTTGATGTTTAAATGGATGACGAGACTGGAGGATTACGAACAATCAGTGTAGACAAGTGGCGGATACATGTACATACTTTGGATATTCATGCCCATATCAAAGGGAAAGAAAGAAGGTCATTTGTGGTCTTAATTGGGGTTGCACAAGGCGAAGTATCATTTCCTCAAAATGCGGCATGCAGGATTCGACTCCCTTGCTCTGCTGATCTTTTGACTCGTGTAACCAGGACCACTCAGCAGTAGCTTCAGTGGCCCTACCAATGACAGCGTGCCTCAAGGCTTAAGGTCAGAGGGCATTCAAGCTTGCTGGTTGCGTTCCATTAGGCTTTCCAAATTTCTCTCTGGGAAAACTGGTGGAAGCCGAGAGGAACATAAGCTGGAGGCCTAGCGATTGACGGCTGCTCACTTCAAGCTTATGTGGACCGGTCTGGGTTTTCGTGCTCGATCTAGAACACCAAAGCGTCTCGATGGCGGCACTGTGAACAAAGGACCGTCCCAAAGACGTCGCTTCTTGAGTTCTCGTTAACCAAACACAAGATAAGCATAAGCATTCCTAACTTGAGTGCATGCCATGTTGCTGTGCAGCTGTAAGGGTGATGGATGTTTTGACTCACGATGTGGCCCCAGTGGGCGTTTATGAGCCCCTAACGGATTCCTTACTGAGATTTCACTCCATAAGACATTATGGTATGCTTGAGGGACGCATGAGAAAGGGGGTGAACTTGCTTGCTCCTCGACATCGCCGAGTATTCTCCATAAAACGTCGCCTTGATTTCTTTTCTCGCAGAACGTTTGGTACCTCACCTCCTTGACATTGTCCAGCACCACCCCTACGGCAATCAGCAGCACTGTCTGCTTAGAGGGCACCGCCGTCATCATGTCCAGAGACCTCGAGTCCAGTTTGTCGAGGGCCCAGCTTTCCTCTCCTTCGTCTTCCTCCCAAGCATCCTTCTCGTCTTCTTCGGACGACTTGGAGTACGCTCGTCTTCCTCTTGACTACAAGGATGAGGGGCTGCGAATTCAGACTCTCGAAGTAGAGGACGACATCTCTATCGAAGATACCTTCATCGCACCTCGTCCCTTGCCGCCTTGGCTGAGGTATCCCAAGAGCCTTGCCTTGGCCTTGGTTCCCAGCTTCTTGCACCCTGTGGACCCTGATGTAACACCAAAGCCTCTCCACCCGTCAGCTTGGCTCGGTAAGAATATTTAGACTCAGCGCGGCCTTCTTTCATTAGCTGACCAAAGACAATCGTAGATGGACTTCGAGGACTCGCAGCGTTCTTCGTTGTATGCCACCACTGGTCCCTCTGCACGCTGACCGGCGAGTTCCTCCACGGCTTCATGAGTGACGACACTCCTCTCCTTCTCCAGCTCCCGATCCTTCGTTTGGCTGTTTCTGGACTATCCAATGTTTGCATTTTTTTCGTCATCTCGGGATATGCCTTGAGCTACAAGCCCATGAAGCTCATTAAGCAGAAGAAGTCGGCCGAGTTTGCAATCGCCACTGCTTCATCCGCTTTCCGTCGGTACATTCGTCTCTTCCTCCCGACAATGATCACGTCCCTTGCCGTCGCTGGCCTGGCCTACTTCAAGCTCTTCGAGCTTGAGCCCATCCCTGGTCCAGCTGTCTCCATGTTCAGACCACCAGCACTCGACGGTGCTTGGGATCAGTTGGTAGGATGGTGGGGGCACTTCTCAAACTTGTCCAACCCCATTGTCAAAAACCTCGAGAGAGGAAGAGGGTTTCCCTATCAGCCGCAACTTTGGACCATTCCCGTGGAGTTTGACGGCTCACTCGTTATCTTCTTGGCACACATCGCCTTTTACCGAGTTCGCCCCAGCGTTCGAATTTTTTTTCCTTGTTTGCCTCCTGATCTACACAATCCATTCCTCCTACTGGCAATTCTTTCTTTTCTTCTCCGGCCTACTTCTCGCTGCCCTTAGATTCTACGGCAACGATGAGGATACCGACAATGGAAGCAACGACTGCAACTGGGAAACTCTGCCACACCTCACGAGCCCTTCATTTTGGCGACGCGAGGGACTAAGGGGTTTCCACGCGCCAATGTCGTTGATCAGATCGTCAAGCACTTACGGCATCTCCAAAAAGTCTCTCCAGGTGGTCTCCTTCATCGGCGCCTTGTGGGTCTTGTCGTTCCCCGGGGGGGGTGGAAATGCTGCAGAAACTCCCGGATTCAGAACCATTTCCTCATTGACTCCTGCATCATATGGCGCAGGCGACTATTTCTGGGTCCCCGTTGCCGCAGTCTGGCTGGTTTCCAGCATTGACCAGTCGCCATTCATTCAGCAGCTTTTCACTGGCCGAATCATCCAATATCTCGGTCGGATATCGTACGCCACCTACCTTGTTCACAACAGCCTGATTTGGCTGTGGGGCTACCACGCCGTTCAGTTTTTCACTGCCATTACTGGCATCCCTCTTGAAGCCAACCTTAGCACTGGCTGGAACTTCGTCGTCTTTCTTTCAACGTGTCTTTACTTACCGGGTGTTGTCTGCGTGGCGGATTTCGTGCAGAGATATGTGGATGCCAACGCTGTCAAGTTCGCGGCTTGGTTCGAGGGGAAGTTGATTGAGAAGACACAGTAGTGGCATGGCACGGGGAAGGAAAGCATGGCTTACCTCGTCGGTGCTGCCCTGCCACAAATGGACTTTGGACGCGGGCAGCACGACTGTACTGGTCGTCTCTTAGCCGCCAACTCAAGGTCACTCTGTGTCACTTAATTATGAAGTATGACTAGAAGATGTCCTAGGGTTATATCGCTAAAGCAAACGTCTTTGGAATGCACCTGCATGCGGACAAATCTGTGACAGTCATGGTGCGGAAGCGATCGGGGATTGAAATGGACATTGGCTCTTTGTAGGCGTAGACGAAGTGGACGGCGTGGGTTTTTGGCGGTTTTCTATGCACAACATGGATAGCTCGATTAAGGCACCTAAAAGAGCCTTAGTATCTAGACTTGAGTTTAGAGTCGAATCTATGTAGAATCAAGGGGTTCGTCCTTGTCATTTGTGCCTGGCGGTAGATTCTTTCTACTCGATGACACTCCAGCTTCTGATTTTCTCCTGAAGAAACAAGAGGAACTTTCAGACTTCCTTCCCCAGCACCACGCGATTCTATCTCTGTAAGCCATGAGATCAAAACATGAGAGGACGAACGTAACGTAGCCTCAGCAAATGGACCAATCAGTCTTACACGGGATAGAATACCTTCATCAGACCTGTGAACTCTTGCCTTATCATTATGATACAACGGCCAGACTGTGAAAGAAGTTTCTTCAACCGTTTCAGAATCTTCTCTCCTCTGTGTCATCAAATGGGTTCTCAATCTTGCCGGATGTGCAGGAGGTGGGTGGGCATTTGTGGTGGCTTGCTTGTATTGTCTCGACTCATGCTGTCTTTGCAAAATTTGTGGTTAGATAGGATAATTTCTAACCCACCTAAGCCGTAGTTCACCACCGCTGCTGCCAAGAATCTGTGAAGAAGGTTCTTGTAAGCTACATCTAGGCTGAGTAAAGTGCGAGCAAGGACATTAGAAAGGTTCGGCTTGTGGCCGGTCACCTCGATTAGCCACACGTCCTGATCGCTACAATGAAGGTGGGTATCCGGGGTTGCGGCCTCAATTCCATAATCCAGCCCTAGTGGCTTCCCGTTATGGTTTCTCAGGAACGCATTAGGAGATACAATAACATATCAACATCTAGACATTGATCTAATTGGCCGCCTCGAAGCAAGTTTATCACTTTTTTGATCTTCATTCGGTTGGGTTACAAAATTCCTACATCTTGCACTTTACCCCTAGATACAAATGAATTACATAGGGTGGTAGGTACATGATGTGTTCCAAGCCTGATGAATCCAAGCTAGGCTTCATTCACAACTCGGCATCGAGCCAGCCAGCCTCCTTATTTTCCTCAATGTATTCAGACAGCCTCTCCTTCAAATCTTCGACGGAAATCTCGCCATCAACATAGTCAGACTTGTGCTTGTGAGGGGGGATGGGAACGCGGCCTGGAACGTGAATGACACCATTCTTGGCAATACCATCAGCAACGACGATGGGAATATATCCATTCAGCTTGACCTTGGTCCAGCCACCCCAAGTAGCAACGTCAACAGCGATGTTCTTGCCATCAAGCAAAGTGGGCAGGTCAACATGGTAGTGCTCCATGACCTTGGCATCCTTCTTATCGTCAGGGCGGTAGAAGGCATCGCTGTAGAGAGTAGCGTTGGCGACGATCTGGTACTTCAGCAGTGCCTTGAGGTATTTCAGACCGGTCTGGCTGTTAAATAAAAAGGCGTTAGCCTTGGGGCCGAGGCGGGCAAAAGCGTTGTTCGAAGGGGCGAAGACAGTGGTGCCAGTAGACTTGACGCCATGGATGTACTTGACGAAATCGGTCTTCTCGTATGCGAGCAACAGGGTTGAAAACTGGCTTGGAAGTAGAGTAAGCTCGCGGCCCACCATGGGAGGTGGGATAATCAAGCTGTTGACAGCATGAATAATTCCATTGGTGGCACGCTACCCATGCACTCATTAGTCACTATTGACGCATACCAGAGGAGTACGAAACTTACAATGTTGACCGCAACAACCTTCGCGTAGAAATTGACACGAACGCCACCAAGACCAACGCTGGTGCGAAGTCGCTGGGGCTTGTCGCCGAGAAACGGCTCGTTTAGCAGCGTGGGGAGCGTGTGGGTGCGTAGGACTCTCTTCGCATCATACTCGCCAATTCCAACATGATACTTCAGAATTGCCTCAATCACCTCCTTACTGGGCTTCTTGTGTTTGGGAATGTGCTCAAAAGCGCGGTTCGTAGGCACGAAGAGAGTGTGGTTCGCCTCAGTGCTCTTCAATACTTTGACAATGTCTTCATAGTCATTTACCAACTTGGCGAATTCGGTGGTATGCTCGCTCTCGGATATCAGCTCGTAAATGGTTTTGTCGGAACCGCGAGGATTGTTAAAGACCTCCTCCCCAAAATGGTGCTCGAACTTGTTCTCGACAGTGTCCTCGAGAGAGTGCAAGGCACCCTCAATGTGCGCGGACAGGGAATCGATGCCATCCTCGACGGTGTTCACGATGGAATCCTTTGATGGGACGCGGTCCCACCAGGAGGTTCGGTCGGTGCGATCATCGTTCCTAATCGCCGATTGCTCGAAGATCTTGGGGTCGGGAAGGATAAATGCGTTGGCTACGGCCACGCATGACAAGGCTGAGGCAGCTTTCATTTTGATTAAATTTTTCCTGACAATAATGCTAACTTGATTCTAGAATCAAAAAGGATGAGAGGGGAAAATGCAAGAAGGCGAAAAGGAGGGGGATGCACATAAGGACCTTTTTGCTTTCCGCCTCAAAGGCAAACACCGCCACGCTTTGGACGTACGCGGAAAGGCTACAAGCAGACGCTGGAACATGCGCTAGCAGCTGAAGATCTACTCGTCAACTGACGTCAACGTGATCGGACAATAGGCGGCGAAGTGAAACTTCCCCCCGCTCATTCCACACCATGGAACTTGAATCCCCCGGACGAGCCGGTGCGGTTCACAGATGGTTGGGGAGCACGAATTGGAAGCGCATTCGATGCGAGGAAGAAATAGCCTAGGCCCGGTCGCAAATTCAAAAAACCCCGAGGCCCCCCTCAATCTAGAAACCATTTCAGCTCATCATTGATTGTTATTGCATGACGAATGAGGTGATTCTGGTGTGGGAGCTCGCAAACTGAGCCAGCAACCAGTTGAAGCACAATCAAGCGAGCTAAGCTATGAAAGCCTATGAGAAGCTAGGTCGAGGACGTCATTCGTCTCACGTGTGAAACCCCTCTCGTCCCTCCAAGTCCCTCCAACCATCGGGGTCTCGGGGTTGTCCGGTCTCCATTCATCGGCTAGATTTCTCCCCGCCTCCGAACTAGCACGGCCCCATCGCCGCTGCTCTGCCGACTGAAGGTTTAGACGTTACGGGTGTCTCCCGGCCGAATTGTCTACGGTATCAGACATGCCGGTTTCCTATAATACTATGCCAAGTTTTTTATGTTTCTGGAATTCCGTGTTAGTTAATTTCTGTCCTCTAATGACCATTCGTAACTCTAATATCAAGGCTGGTCATTGGCGAAAAAGAGCCGAAGCCATTGAGTTTCCGAACTACATTGCCCCACAAATAAGAAATTAGATGCTTGTTTTTAGTCGGGCTGGCACGCCTGGGTTCTACGAGCGGACATAATGTTAGTTTATAAGTATCTGAGAACCCGGCTACTATGAGGGCCTGCAGAAAAGAAACTTAACAGCCGTCGCGTGAACAATAATCTTCTCAAGTCGCCATCTTTGGCTCTTAAATCCTGTCTTTTTGCAGAACGGGATTACATCACTTGTTTTCTTACTGTTCAAGACTCTGCAAAATTAATCTTGTTCTCGGCAGGCCGGTCGCTGAGCCATCGTTGAGCGTGTCCGCTCTCATACCGTTTCTCGCTTTACCCTGACCATCAGATGCTGCTGATCTCCATTAACCCCAAGTATCGAGCTTGAAACAAACTTTCGGTGGTCTCGGAGATTCGATTCAAATTCGGTGCAACTCCGTTCCCTTTTCATGTCACCTTCTATCAAGCAAGATATGAGCTTTCCGTTTTTTGTGTTTTGCTTTTCATTTCATTTCATTTCTTCCCGTCATGATCCAGCGCCGCAACGACAGCTGAGTGTTATACATTGGCGATCTTCTGCCATGCCCCGTTTACTGGTAATATGCGTTGTTTGATGTGTAGGGGCATAGTGTGGAATCAATCATATTGATTTGGTTTAATTCTAGGCGATTTAAACCATTGGCATTGAATCACATTATCGATGCTTACCGACGCAAATACCTCCATTAGGCAACCAACTTTAGTGTTTTCGTCTTTTCATCTCAAAATTTGACATAAGTAGGATACAAATATGCATTTGTACAAAACGCCTACAATACGTTATAGGTCGGGAATGATTGCCATCATATTAGAGGTCCACTAGTTTTCCATGGTCACTCGTCTTTATTTTATAGTTTGGCCTAGCTCGTTTTCGCCTTACAGCGATATCCCGAAGGATACAATGGTTATCTTCAGCTGCCTGCTACTGACAGAGGCTCCTTAATAGTCTTCGAAAACCATCCTCATCGTTCAGAGACTGGCTTCGTGATTTAACTGAGCATGACTGATAAAGGCTTAAATAATACGTCATATTAAGATATTAATCTGAGAGCTTTGTTGTACAAATGGAATGTCTCACATGAGATGAGGTGTCAGAGATCGAAAGTGTGAGTACTTCTTTTTGATTGCCGTTGACAAAAGATTATGCAGAAGTCTCTGCAAAACCAGCGGACACAACTTGAAATGCTTCTTACATCAAGATTGGCCAATAGCCTTCTTGAGGACCTCGTACCTGTTATTTTCGACTTTCCTAATGTGATGCAAGACGCGAGGGTAAACGTCCTTGTGAGCGGACGGGCTCATCCATGCATCCAAATGGCCACGGTCCTTGAAAACCTGCCTCTCGTAGCATATTCCGCCGTTGGCTTCGGTGAGAGTGGTGAATGAGGTGTCCGTGTTGTCGGGGGCATAAACTTCGTTTTGGGTTCCAGAGAAGAAGAAAATGGGCAGACCCTTGAGTCGAGCAATATTCTGGGGTGTGACGAGGTTCTCGTTCTGAGAGTCTGTTACATACTCGTGGGTACCCTGATACATGAGATGGTTCAGACTGGTCATTGATGTGCCTCCGACGAAGTTTTCCAGTTGGGAGTGCGTCGCCTCGTTGAGACCTTTGTGCGACCAAAGGCTGGGAACGGTCAGCTATGGAGCATTGAAGAAAGGGACCTAGAGAACTTACAGGCCGAATACGAGGGAGCTGCGATGACAGACAACAGAGTTGCAGATCTCATTGCGGTGACCGACCGGATAGAATCGCAACACTTGATTGATGGCTTGCTGAAGGTAGCCATCTCGAGGGGTACTGGTACAGTCGAACCACTTGCCTTGGATCAAATTGTAGATGTTGGCCATGGAGATGGGAAGCCTGGCCTTGATATTGTTGACCTTAGCGAACTTGGGATTCATGAAAACTTGCGAAGCAGTGACACCGCTAAGCCATTGGCGAGGGATGGTGCCATCGAGAAGACCGGAAGCCAAAGCAATGGATCCAGCGCAGTGGGCTACCACATAAGTGGTTTTGTTTGGACCGGAGCCGTCAAGTTTGTCGATGATAGAATGTCTTTTGCGGATCTCCTTGAGCGCTGCGTGAATATCGCGGCGAGCGTCATATGTGGTCCAGTTTTGTTGTGCCACAACGGTCTTACCCACACGGTGAACCATCGAGTATACACGGTAGCCCTCTTCGCGGAAGTAGTTGACTGCGTTGTGTTCAATGGTAGGTAAGGCAAAGATTTGATGGTCGACAGCGGCGCCGGGAATGAAGAGTAGAATCGGCGCATCGTCTGTCTGTCCTCGATTGCCCTGCGGCTCCCACATATACAACTTCGTCTTGACCCGATCGTTGGCCTCAACTGTGAACTCCTTCGACCATGGAGTTGGATTCTGATAGCTGTGGAATGGAAGTGACGGCCACATCTGGGGGATGAATGGGGTGAGAAATGCGCCAGCTGCCTTGGCAGTGAAGTATCCTAGGAAGTTGGCGGTCGATGTGACCTTTGCGTAAAGGCTTGAACCCGTGGCCTCCATTGTAGTGCACTCTTGGAGGAAAGCAGTCGGCCGAATGTGAATGACACCCTTTCCACGGACTTTGCTGGGGATTGACTGGTCCTGTTCGTCAACCTCGGTAATGGTGCAGTAGAGAGTTGTTGTTGCCTTCCAAAGGTTCAGTGGGTTGAAGACCACGTCCGAGTTGACTACCTTGTAGCCATTGAAGTGCAACTTGCTGCCATTCTTCTGGGAGACAAGGAAGTTGTAGGTGAGATTCATGGTGTCTGGAGATCTCGGATCGTCATTGAAAAGCTGGAACTTGCCTCCCTGGACCATGGATATTCCTCCAAGTGTCGGGCAGGTGAAGGTACCAGTGAGGTTAGCCTCATGTTCCTTGTCATTGACAACTAGACCAGTCAATTTTTTAAGTCATCAATCGTAGTGGTCTTGCTTACGGTTGTGTGTGTTCCAGGATCTGGCACTGAGGAAGAACCGCGCGTATTCACCACGGCTCTTGGCAGTCTCAGTAGCTCTCTCAAAGTCAAGTGACTTTGCATCGTCTCCAAAGTGTATCCATCCATCCATCATCTCTGTGAAAGCAATGCCGGGAGTTTTGTCATCTCGGGCAGTCTTGATAATTTCTCGAACTTTAGCCACTTGAAGATTGTCATCATCGTGCTCAAACTGGTTATGTGCGGGCTCAGCGAAGAGATTCAAAGCCCCTCAAAATCGTTAGTACACGATTACAGTCAATGGCGTTCTCCAAGATATGACCTACCATTCTTCTTCTGCAAATCGATTTCGATACCAAAGTCCTCAGCAACCTTCTCAACAGACCTTTCAGCAAGGGCGGTAATGGTCGCGAAGGGGTTGACTCCAAGAGCAGCAGGGACGATGGTGCCGTCGCAAACAACCAGCCCCTTGTGTACTTCAGGTCCTTCACCAACAAAGAGCTGACCCTTATGGTTGACACCACCACTGACGCCTTCGCCGCTGTTACTGATACGCGCGCCACCACTATGATTGCGTCAGATACGTTGCTCACAGCTATACGGTAAACTGTACTCACATCGCATGAACAGTAATCTCCTTCTCACCAAATGCAGCGTAAAAGGGGCTGTCAACATAAGTTCCCCCAATCAAATTGGTAAGTTTAGCCAAGTAACCCGCAAGCTTCTTGGCTCTTTGAGACTTGCCTACGCCGGAGTAGTTGATCAAAGGTCGATCCTTATGCAATTGCATCGTTGCTTGGCTGCCTTCAAGGGTTTTCGTCAGAGGTGACATAATAAGTGACATAAAAGAGACTTACTATCATGGGACATAATCAGGTAACACTGGGTTTTTTCTGTGCTGCCTTCTGGATAGTAGGGTCCAAACACCCGGCTACCGGCGGCCGCAGCAATGTGGCTAACTGCCCCCTTGATAGAGATGTTATGAGGAAAAACTCTGCCTGGAAGGTAGGCAAGCATTCTCTGGTAGAACGGAGCCAGAGCCGCGGGTATAGCGCCCTCCTCAATGACAAATCCATCCAGGGGGTTGTCCAGGTTGTGACGACAGTCAATTACACCCGTGATGCAAGGACCAACTGGGCGGTTTGGCGGGGGATCCGGACGGCCCATACCGTTGACATACTCACTGGTGTTGTAGCTGAAGCACTGGTCAGTATGGTCAAAGTTATATGAAGGTATGGAGTGCAAGGACAAGCTTACCCAAACGCCAAGATGTCACCATTGCCACTCATTCCGTGGCCAACGTCTTCGCTCATTTGCAAGCCAAACTTCTGGCTTCGAAGCAGAATCTCCGTAGTGCCAAGGCTACCGGCCCCGAAGAATACCAATTCCTTAGCATGAACCCACATAAGGTCCTCATAAAAGATGTTGGTAAAGTTTGCACGCTTGCTACCGTGCCATGCAAAGTGTACGATGTATCCTCCTCTTTCTTTGGGAGCTTCGGTGACATAGCGGACCTCGCACTGACAGAACATCTCGGCTCCCCAGTTCCAGGCGTCACTGAGGTAGTTTACCAGTGTTGTGGATTTACTGCCGTCGTTCAGGCCGGTAGTGTCTTGGCCAGACAATGTAGATGCGCGCATGTAAACTCCGGTGCTGTTCTCTCCGTCTTCAAAACGGGTCGTCTGGGGCACACGGTCAAACTTGTCCCCCCAGCCCATAAGCTTAGCCTGCTTCTCGAGAGTCTCAAGCTTGTGGAGCTTTGGAAAGTCCTTGGGGTACTTTTTAGGCTCCAAGACATCGGCAGCTCGCTTGTAATCTGAGACTCATTAGATGACAAGTAAAAACATTTGGGGCACAACTTACAATCTTTGAGCTTCTCGGGACCTCTCAGTTCAGTAGGCCAAATAGGAAGATTGAGGACTCCATCATCCGCCTTCAAGAACACATTGGCATTCAACAAACTTGTACCACCTAGGCCGTTGCCAACGAAGGCGTTCTGGCCATCACCGACGACAAGATGATATAGCCCAGTGGGGTCTCCTCTAGTCCCGTACTTGCCCAAGCGGCCAAGCACCCCATCTGTGGATGCGTTTGTGGTGTGAAGCTCTCCTATGGCTGGCAAAATATCTGATGGGAATTCTCCTGGCCATTTCTCCTTGCCACGTTCGAGTAGACAGACCTTCTTTTTGCCTCTAGCCATGCGGCTGGCGGCAACAGCGCCACCATAGCCCGAGCCGATTACAACGACATCGTAAGATGGGCGAATCAGCTCAACAGGGCGAGAAATACGAGGGTAGGTGCCAGTAACAGGGTCAAACGTCCCACCAGTTTTGTCGTAGCCCTCATACGGCTCGGTAGTTGGGGATCTATAAGTATTGAATGGCTCCTCATAGATACTGGGTTCTCTGTGGCCGTTAGTTCCGCCGTTGGCGCCGTTGTGGCCGTTGGTATTAGTGTGACCTTGGCCGTTGACTTCCCCGTACGAGTCGGCCATCGTGATCGAGAAGGCGTAAAATTCCCGAACGAACAAACTAGTGGAAGCCTTCGTGTAGCACCCAGGTAAAAATGACCTTATGATGTAGAAGAGAGCTTGTGGTTTGCCTTAGAGCAATATGGGTAATGAAGGGTTCTTATACTAATAATACCCTACTCTGTGAGAACCCCAGAATTTTCCCCAGACGATGAAATGATACATGCATTCCCTCTTGTGAAGAATTCGTGTTTTAAGTCGGGCTCCAATGGGACATATGTCTTCACATGCTCACAGAGGAATACAATATCAAGTGATAGGGAAATTGCGGATTCCCAGCATCACCGGATGCGGAAATCCCGGCCCGGCATCAGTGTTTGAATGTTCGCAGCCGTTCGAGAGTGTTTTGACGCACATTTCAGTTTACGGTCTAGAGGAGCAACGTCTATATCCGATATCTTGACCCGTAATATTTAGAGGTAATGTTGTTGTCTTGTGTGGCTTGCCAAAAAGAATTGTTCCCGCAAGACATGTTTATCACATATTACCCAGAAGGTGTTTGGCATGCTTTTTTCAAATTATACGAATAACAGTGTCCGATTTGGTTGTTGCAGATAATATAGAAGAGAGCCAACCCTTGATATAGAGATCTCATTGAAAGACCTGTTTTAACACCAAACGAGTTTCCTACAAGCAGTCCAGGCTCTCACTAATGGAATCAAATCGGCTGCTAAATAGTACAAGACTGCAAGCCAATCCTATTGCTGTGACTTCTCGCGTACCTGGCATGCCATGTCACATAGAGCCAATCTCCACAACGAAGGCATTGCTCCAATAGGGCTGGCGCAGACGATCAATCCTAGAAAGGAACATGCTATAAGACTTCACGTCACTTATGTTTCAGGTTTCACTGGAATTATTGAAGGTCGACTACTGTTATTGGTGTGATTAATGAGACGGGAATCTTACCAGTTGCCGAGGATGGCACAACGAGCATGCTCAACGTAGAGCTACTCCCATGCGACTAAACTTTCAATCCCTCATTCTTGACCAGGAGATTAAGCCGATTGGCTGTTCTGCGCCCGTCACTTAGCCACAATTTGCCAGAAGGAAGTGCATATACGAAAGCGGGAAGACTAGCGGCCCGCAACCGGATCGAACAGGGTATTGGGGTAACAGTCTAAGCACACGTATGCGCCAAGTGTGGAGAGCTTGCAAAAGGATGCCAAATTCTGAGACATGGGACGCAAGATGGTCAGACTAGCATTCAGCTTCTTGATGCTAGGCACGCTGTTGTCTTGCCATGGCGCGTGATGGAGAAGAGGAGGCATGCTAGAATTCCAATTCTCACCCCTCCCGTCTCCCATACCTCTAACCATCACAAGAGTTTGCAACCTTATCCCTATCTTCTAAACTTGATGGGCCAAGTTGAATGCAAAGTGATTGTGGTGAAAACACTACCTTGAGCGCCACCATACCTGGGTCGGCTGTTTCTGTCCATACTGCGCTTTTTCGCACCTTGTGGGATTCACATCAGGAAGGCGATTCGACACGTGAAATGGAAGTCAAAGGTATTGGGCATGTGATTTTGAGACAGCAAGGTTTGCTCCAAATTCCTGGCTCAGAAGCTTCACTTTCGGCATTCTAGGGCAAGCATGGCATGAGAGCAGACAACCCGTCAAGAACAACGATTTGAGCTGCACACACTACTTCGCCCATGGGCAATATAAACCACCAAGATTCATGTACTAAAGTCTCCATATCGTCTTACTCACTGTCTATTTCATTTCCCGTCTTAATCGCCCACTCTTCAGTTGCAAAGATGGCCGCAGTTGACGTTACATATTCCTTGCCGAAGGACGTGACTGAAAAGAAGATCGTGGTTCACTCCGGCACGGAGTTCCAGATCAACGCCTACGGCAAAGACGGCAATGGAACAGATGTTTCCCGAAGCTCCAAGGATCCTTCCCTTAGGCCAGCGTACTATTACACTGGCCCACCTTGGAGTTTGCTCTGGAGTGACACTAAACTGTTTCTCAAGAACATCATCTACCTTCCTTGCATTGTCTTCCCATTCTGGGCTCAGCCCCCCGCACGCTCATTTCGTCTTGGAGTCGACAACAGATTCAGAGAGCAACCTCGCTTTCTTGTCAGCCAACTTCATCGCCAGTTCCAAGCATGGGCTCAGACCTACTTCCACTCCGGCCCGATGGACGAGCTTTACCCGTCCTGGAATAACATATACGATATTACCTTCCACATGATTCTCATGGCCACCCAATCGGCCTTTCTTCTGTCCCTTCCCTTTCTGAGCGTCCTCTCTTTCAATGTCTTCGTAGCTTACGTTGGCCTCTTCGTGGGCATCAACTTTGTTGCCTGCTTCGCGCTCAATGGCTGGATGCCTGACGGATTCATCATGTCGAAGCAGTTCCCAGCCACCGCACAATGGAGGGAGGACCATGCAGATGAAGAATGGATTTTCTTGAATGGAGTTGCTGTCGGGTGAGTTCCTGTTGCGTCAAATACGTTTCGCGAGTAGGACTGATGGACGAACAGGAAAAACTGGTTGCAGAGCAACATTGACCGTATCTCATTGACTTTCCACCGTGAAGTTAAGGGCGTGCACAACCGGACGTGAGTGAACAAAGACTACATGTGAATCCTCATAATGACCTTGGCTGATGTGACAACTAGTGCCGGAATAATCTTCGACGTCATACAGTGTCTTCTTGAGCGCTGCCTGTACTTCGGTACCGCGGACACCAGAATCTGCTTCTCTCATATTTCGGACGCGCTCCTCAACCCTGAGAAAAAGAAGGTTATCCTCATTCTGCACTCACAGGGCGGTCTCGAAGGTAGCATCATTCTCGACTGGCTCATCAACCAACACCCCCGTGAGGTCCTGCAGAAGCTGGAGATTTTCACATTCGGCAATGCCGCAAACCACTTCAATAACCCTCGCGTCAAGAAAGAGCATGCCGTGCCCAGAACCAAGGACCGTGCCATTCGCCATATTGAGCACTACGCCAACTCTAAAGATTTTGTTTCTCGATGGGGTGTGCTTCACTTCAAGAAGCAGACGGCCAAAAAGGATGGCCGCTTCCTTCGCCTCGGCGAAATCACCGCTCTTATTGCGAGGAAGACTCAGATCATCAAAGCAACAACCAAGACGGCGAGCAAGCAGGCCAACAAGCTGGATTCGGAGTGGAATGCCTACGAGGGTGTATTGATAGAGCGCAGCGGCTCGGGCCACCAGTTCAACCAGCACTACCTTGACAACATCTTCCCACTTGATGATAGTCTCAGCAGAGTCCAGACTAACGGGGATGGCTCTCCTCTCCCAGGGACCTTCATGGCATCAATGACGAACATTCGCAATGATCCCTGGAAAATTGATGAGCAGCGAAAGCTTACAAACGGAAGTGATGGAACTGCTCACCACGGCATAAACGGCCACTCGGATGAAAAGGAAGTGTACAAGATCAGTCGCCTCTGGAAGTACGTGAATGGCAACAGCCCTATTGACAAGAAGCTGTAGATAGTAGGCGACTCTGCTTCTGTGCCAATTGCAAACATGCGAGGGCCGTGTCTAGGATATTCAAGGGGTCTGTAACGCATGCTTTAACACAATGCTGCAACTTTACAATAGATCCAGCAGTTGCAAACATAGTTTGGTTCAGCTTTGCGCAGGAAAGAGTTTCCAGGAAGACCAGATCTTTGATGAGCAGGTGACAGCCCACTCGTGGAGGGTAAAAGCTTATGGCCTAAATATACATGTACAAGATGCGCTAGGCAGTAGAGGATGTGATGGAATTCTGATTACCTGTTCCAGCTACACTGACTGAGTGAGTTGCAAGAAGACTACTTCAGTGGCTTCGTAGATGAAAATCTTCTATATCAGGTTAGAAAAAAAGTTGAATTATCTGTAGGTCTTATTGATGTCTCCACCTCAACAACCTTTCGGGGTATCTCATTAAGTTCAGCGTAGTAGTTCATTTTGCGGCTAGGGAGTTTGCTGCTTTCTAGAGTTCCGTCGACTCTTTGGCCAGAGTGCCCCCGGCTTCCCGGCCAACCTCGGTCGTCTCTTGTCCCCATCGTGCGGAGACTTCTTGCCGACTCACCGGCGCCGCTCCGGACAGGTTCCGACGGGAAAGCCGGTCCAACTTCCTATCGCTTTATAGCGCCAGATCCCGTTTCCATGTCCAAACAGTCAATTCGATTTGATTCCTTTTGGCTTGGCTCAAATTCGACTTGGTCTGCGGTGTCCACACGAGACCACAAACACCCACTCATCTGGAATCTAGGTCCACACTACCCTGGAAGTCTGCTACGACCCCCCGGGTCTCCACAATCGCGGGCGATCGGCCTCTTTCTCCAAGATCAAACATGGCTCTTTTCAAGACGCCTGAGTCGGTGCATGTCCACATACATATAAACGGCTGATGAGCCCTCTTCGGATCCCGTCTGGCGAGTAATACTCTTTTTAATTGCTATTGAACGATGGCATGAACAAATCACCTTAGCAGCGTAGTCCTCGCACCAATGTTCTACGTTGGTCAGTGCATTTCCTCAGTCATCAATTGCGCTATGCAGCGGTCCGATGTCGACATGAACCAAGAACCTGCCCACCCAGGAAGCGAGACTTCATTTCCCCCGCTTGGTCGTATAGGGAAGGTAGACAGCGCTTGATAAGAGACCGACAGAAAACTTAGTCCCGGCAAATCGCGGTTTTTTCCATTCTCGACGGCAGTTCCGCGCTTCACATCCGCTGCGTAGCGCGAGCGCTCCCTACGTCTGCCGCGCGCGGCCAAGCCCTCCTTCGAGATCTCGACCGAAGGAGTCGCCGCGCGCCGTGAGTGGGATGTATTTTCATAAGGTAAACCATGAGATCCTCCTGGCTTGACTTGAGGCTCGAGATCTCGAAATTGGAAATAGGCGTCCTAGCCAAGCCTTCCGCACAGTGATATACCCTTGTTGTGATTCTTGGCTGCCCATTTTGGGACCATGGACCCGAGTGAACATGAACTGCAAGTGGCAATGCAGCTTCGGTTCCAAGCATCCTGCTTGACTCAGTCCATATCCAGTATAATCTGACTGCGGACTACAGACAGCTTCAAGCTTTAGAGCTCACATCATGTACCTACGCCCAAAAGGCGCTAGTCCTCGCTCTCGTCTTATGGTCTCATCCCACATCACGTCGCACCCATGTGTTCGCCGCGTCGCAAGTGTCAAAATCCGCGGAGCAGACCCAAATGCTCGGAAACATCTGGTGATAAAGTTCCAGTCATCGTAAATCCCGCGGCCACCGTCGCCCGTCGCGGCCACATAACTACTTGCAGTGGATGTCGTCATTTGCCTTCGGCCTTACTACATCGCAACCTCCCCACGCCCCCCAATGAACAAGTGGGCACGCCGCGCGGGGGTGGGTTCTCAGCGCGGGTAGAAACACTAGTGGACGGGGTCTCAACCACCATCCAATTCCAACCACCACTCAGTTTCAACGGACATGCAGACTTCCAACAGACACACAGACCCTAGGGACAAGCCGCAGTGGAAACGCCGAGTGCTCACGTAGCCGGGGAACGCGCCCGATCCCTGCCCCTTGCTCTGTCACTTCATTAATTTTTCGGCGTTGAGACGTTGCACTCGCCCTCGCGACATCTGGACATGATGGCAAGGGATGGGGGCAGGCGAGAACTGTTCAAGCCAGGTTCATCGGGCAAAGTCCCAAGATTGAGGGACCCTCATTGCGTGCTTCCTGCGCCCGAGAAGTTTTCATTGCCAAGAGGACCAATGTCGACTTATCGAGCCAGCTGAAGCATGGATTGGGTAGAATTAAGCCAAGAAAGCGTCGATTGTGTGATTTTGCCTCTTAGTATCGAGCTGGAGACACGAGTCGGGGACACCGCGGGTGGTGAGCTGCTCTTCGTGGACGTATATATCCAAGGCTAGCCATGCATGTTTTTATGTGAGAGTTCATCGTCCCTCCGGCTCTCCTGAACCAACAGGTCTTTCCACCTTTGCCATCCTGGCGTCTCCCCATTTCCCAGTCCGCCAACAATCTTGTTCGCAGACACAGTTCTTGGGCGATCAATAATGGTCTTTTCGAAGCTCTTCCCAAGCGGCGACAAGTCGGGTGGCGCCGATTCCACCGTCCGCGTCGACCCCGAAGCCAGCGACTCGGAACCTTCCATCATCCACGATGGCGACCTCGCCTACACCAGGGTGAAGGGTGGTAACGGCTCCAAGCCGTCTTATCAGGAGGCCATCGGCGCGCCTGTCGAGGCTGATTCGCCGCTGGGGTACCACGTCAATTGGGTCGCGATCATATTCTTGAACGTTAACATGATGATCGGAACTGGTGTATTCTCTACCCGTAAGTTGGGACGAAATAGATGGACTTCCCCTCCGGAAGATTGCGACGGCACAAACCCTTCTGACGCATTTCACAGCTGCGAGTATTCTCAACAGAACCGGCTCCATTGGTTTGGCTCTGATCTACTGGGTCATCGGCTTCCTCATGGCTTCCGCCGGCTTCAGCGTCTACCTCGAGCTGGCCAGCTACTTCCCCAACCGAAGCGGCTCGGAAGTTGTCTACCTGGAGCAGGCATACCCCCGGCCGAAGCACTTCTTCCCCGTGGCTTTCGCCGTTCAATCGGTGATCTTGTCGTTCAGCAGCAGTAACGCTGTTGGTAAGTGACCTCGATACTGACGTGGACGATGCTAGATTGCTAACTCTCTGCTAGTGTTGTCCAGATACCTCTGGAGAATGGCAGACATCACGCCATCGGAGTGGCAGATGCGCGGCGTTGCGATTGCCGCTTACACGCTCGCCGTCATCTGTGTTCTCGCCCACAACCGATACTCCCTCTGGCTCGTCAACTTCATCGGCGTCCTGAAGCTTCTCACGCTACTCTTGTACGTGTGCCCTAAACCAACCTTGCCCCTCAGCCACGCAGCACTAACATCCCCCAAGCATCAGCATCGCAGGCCTCGTCGTCCTTGGCGGGAACATCAAGCACATCCCCGACCCCAAGGCCAACTTCCGCAACGCTTTCGAGGGCACGACTAGCAACGGCAACGACTTGTCTAATGCCCTCGTCAGCATCATCTTCTCGTACGCCGGCTACTACAACGCCTTCAACATGACCAACGAGATCAAGAACCCGATCCCGACCCTCAAGAAGAACGGCATCATCTCGCTGATGACCGTCGCCATCCTCTACATGCTCTGTAACATTGCCTACTTCGCAGCCGTGCCCAAGGCCGAGTTCGCCGAGGCCAGCGAGATTGCGGCCGCCGTCTTCTTCTCCAAGCTCTTTGGCGGGAGCAAGTCTGCCGCCAACGTCCTGAACTTCCTCGTGCTTCTGAGCGCGTTCGGAAACCTACTGGCTGTGCTGATTGGGTCTTCGCGCATGATCCGCGAGATTGGCCGGTATGTCACCGGCCCTCCACCCGACTGATCCAGGTTGATGCTGACTCCCAACGCAGACAAGGTGTGCTCCCGTTCACCAACTTCTGGGTCTCGACCAAGCCCTTCGGAACCCCCCTGGGCCCATACATGCTCAAGTGGATCATGACCTTCATCATGATTGTCGCGCCCCCGCCGGCGACGCCTTCTCTTTCGGTATGCTCAGCCCTTTGGATATCCCGGTCCAAAACACGTGCAACAGCTGCTAACACGCACACAGTCGTCGACTTGGCCAGCTACCCAAGCGCCATGTTCAACTTCGCCATGACACTAGGTGTCTTTGTCCTGCGCCGCCGCCGCCAACGCTCCGGCATCAGCCGTTCCGAGTTTCGCGCCTGGGACTTCGTCGTTGTCTTTTTCCTCGCCATCCAGGTCTTTGTCTTGGCGATGCCCTGGTGGCCGCCAAAGGGCGGCCCGTACGCCGGCAGCGTTAGCTTCTGGTACGCGACCTACTGCGTCGTCGGCATTGGAATGTGAGTTTCCATCAATCCCTAATATGCCCAGGGTCTATCCCATCTGATTTGAACGATTTGCTCATGTTCTTTTCCAGCATCCTGCTTTGCATTCTGTACTACGTCTTCTGGATGTACCTGCTCCCTCGTTGGTTGGGCTACGAGATCCGCACCGAAATTGTCGACGTCGACTCCAATGGCGCCAACACGCACCGTCTTGTCAGGATACCCAAGGCCGAGGTTGCCCGATGGGACGAGGAGCACGACGAGGCTGGCAATCTCCGACGGAGACGCGTCACAACCGAGCTCGAGTCCAGCAACTCGAACGAAAAGGGGTTTTGAGAGAAGATGATAGGATGAGATGGGGTGGTAGAGAGGATAACTGTATGACTTGAACAAACGCGACAATTGGCGCAACAGGCAGTCCAGTGTCCTGGCTGCGTATTCCGCTCATGGTCATCTCGATCCAAGCAGTTAGGATGGATGCGTAGCAGGGAATGTCCATCCGGCATTTTAACTCTCACGTTTCTGAAATTCAAACACCTACTACTGTACTCAGTATGAAACCGTGTGACGATATCAAACAGCTGTCCACATGTGGAACTCTTACTGAAAGGCTGTAAGCAAGGCCGGAGTCACGAAAAAGCAACACAGGAGGCGACCACGAGAGCAGGAAGAGAGTAAGTATCGATATGCACCATCCGTCAAGTGCACAAGATCGTAGGCTACTGAGCGGCGAAGTAGACTTCAAAAACAGAGCCCCCGTGTGAGTCCAACGCCGGTCCCGATCTGGGATTCCCATACATGACATGCCCATCCACCAATCCCAATGCCCCAAACCGGTATCCGTCCAAAAATGCATCAAAAGTCAAAAGGAGCAAAGATGTCGGTAAACCACCGATTGTCCATTAGATCAAATCCAAACTGTCCCAGCTCCGCTTCGCCGAGGCCAGCCGGCATCAGCCCCCCGGCCCCAAGCACAGCCGGGCCCGCGCCGGCAACACCGACCGCTGCCGGATCTGCCGGATCCGCCGCCTTGGCGAACGGCATCAATGCCACCTCCCACGTGCTCTTCAACCCCTTGATCGTCTTGACGGCCTTGGAGAAGGCGTTGCCCTCCTCAACGTCCTGATTCAAGTCGGCTTCGCCGCAGACCCTCATGAAGCGGTTTCCGATCTCGTCGAGCGTCGCGATGAGGTCAATGGTTGAGCGCACGCTCGCGCGGTCCCAGACGGGGTCCTCGAGCACCGAGAGGCGGTACAGCGCGACCGTGCAGTAGCTCAGCTGCGCAAAGGTGAGGAAGGCGATCGAGAAGTAGCTGGCCGGCGGGAGGGTGAAAAAGTGGTCGAACCAGGCTTTCACGGCGTGGAGGCACCCGTAGAGGATGTCGAGCCGTGCAATGTCGGGGAGGTTGGCGGGGACATAGGCGCCGTTTTTGGAGGCGAGGGCAACCTCCTGGATGGAGAGCTCGGTGCAGTGGAGTTGGGCGATGATGGTGTCTATGGAGAGGCATTGATTAGTCTTGTTGGGGGCGGATGGTGTGAGGATAGAGACGAACCCGTGCTTTGAAGTTCTGGTGGCAGGCTCTGGATGATCCGCTGCAGCTGCGCTTTTAATAGCTTGACGTACATGGCCGCCGGCGGCTTTGAGCCGTCTATTGCGTCCAGTGGCGCGTCGGATCGAAACGACAGCTTGGCGGCCTCGTCCTTTAGCAACTGCATTTTGACAAGGGCGACAAGGCTGCGGTCCGATGAGCTCTCGGGTTGGCTATCGAGGATCTGGAGACACTCGTCCATGTGCGATGTCCAGCGCAGGGGGTCCATCTTCCCCAAGAAACTGGCGATGCTGTGACAAGGTCAGCCGAGGCTGTAAAAGGGATTTTACGCCTGGGATGGGATGCTTACGCTGACGTGACCAGGTAGCAGGCAACAACCGCCCTCCGCTGCTCCATCGTCCGCGGCATCTGCGACTTGACATAGAGGGTCTGGGGGACGACCCCGGTCTTGTCCCTATCGGCCCTCTCCTGGGCGGCCTTCCAGCAGAGAAACGGGTTCAGGCCATCCAACGGGTCACGGGACAGTCCCAAGTCAAACACGAGGCCGATCGCGATCTGGCAGAACAGGCACATGAAGGGCTTGTTCCCGAGCTGGTGGTTCGCCCTGGGCCAAAAAGTCAGTCAACTCTCCTTTCCCAACATCATCGAGACCAAACCAAGGACGCAAACTCACCATCCCAAAATCACCAAGAGCCCGAGGAGGTAATCGATGCTCCTCTCGTTCTCGATGAGCAGCTTCTGGCTCACAACCTGCCGCACCCGCTGCCCCAACGCAAGCTGCTGGCTCGTCACCTTGGCAGCTACCGTCATGATACAAAGCCATAGGAACGGCCTCTCGGCCCTCAGCTCTTGCGCCGTCATTGTAGCCTTGAATGACAAGAAAGGAAAATACTTTAGATTCTGCCCCCGGAACGCCTCGAACAGCGCCTCCGCCTCATCTGGAGACGGCAGCTCGTCTCCGAACCTCGTCCCCTCGGGGCTGTCAGTCTGCGTCGGCGTCGGAAGAGAGTTCCCACGCGCCCGCTCGCTATCCTCCCCGCCCGACGCCGGCCCGAACCCGCCGCGCATGCCGCCCATCTCCGAAAACGACTCCCTCGCGGCCGTCGCTGACGAGGGGATGGGGCCGGGGATGTTGAAATCGGCACCGAGGTCGGCAGGGAGGTTCGGTCGACCCGACTGGCGCAACAATGTGACGAGCCCGTCGAGCTTCTCCTCCAGCTGTGCCGTCCTGCTGGAGGGCGGCTTCTTGGAGCGTTTGCGGATGGGGTTGCTCGGCTGGCACGCCTTGCTGAGCCGGTGGCAGCGCTCGCAGGCCCCACCGACGGGGCGGAGGATGCATTTGCACTTGGCCCGGGAGCAGTTGGTACACGCGCGCCCGTACGGCGCGGCGATGCCTCCGCTGGCGGAATGGGCCGAGCCCGAGTCGTGGGTTTCGACTCCGGTCGGCATCCGGGATTGAGTGGAAAGAGAAGATTATACAAGAAGGGTACCCTCTAATGGGAGCGGGCCGAAGGTCCGGAGTCCCCGGTTCCGCGGGCGGACCTGACTCCTGCTGTACGTATGATCGTGAGGTGTGCAGTACACCAAGGTTCCAGGGGGGGCGCGAAGGAGTCGGGCCGCCAAGCTTTCTGGCTGCAGCCTCCAAACTCTGGTTATCGCAAGCCGGGCTTCAGATCTCAATTCTGTTCACAAAAGCCGTTTAGCAACAGTGGGAGACTGGAAGTCAATGTGTGATGGAATGACAGAAAGCAGAACGAGACAATCGAAACCCGCCGGGTTTGGCTTAGGGGTGGGCGATCTCAAGGACCCTGGCGCATATGTACGTAAATAGTCGGAGTTGGAAGACTAAGAATTCAAATCCCGCCCGTCCGCTGCTGACATCTGTTTACTGGCCCGGGGCTGTGGCTTGCATGTGGTGCACGGACATAAACCCGGAAACGGCATTGCATTATGGCCCGAATGCCGGTCAGGGCATCCGCTTGAACAGTGAGTTGCGGCTCCTCACTCTGGCCTCATACACAGGGCATTGACTGGAGAAAAGGGATGAGAATTGAGATGAAGAAGCGGACTGGCTTCGACGTCCCTCTTTTCCTTAGCCCCGAGATTGGCAAGCCTCAATTGTCAAACGTTGGAGAAATATCTCGCCATGCTACGAATAATGTCACGGGCAGCCTCCTATTTATTGCGTGTCACTGTCAACCACAATCGCCCAATGCGTATGAAGCATCATGTGCCACGGGTATTCGATTGAAAAGCTATCAAGCAACGAGTCCAAAACGCCATCCCGTGCTGCCATGACTGGGTGCAGCGTAACCTCGAGGAAAGCAATGCCAGGTCATTGATGTTGCCCCGATCGCAGAAAAAAAACACAACCGCCAACGTCTCCGTAGAGCCCAGCCGAAGCCATTCATCGACTCGATCTCCCAACGCCAAAATGAATCTCATTACCCTTGCACAGACCATTCACTTCTGGAGGGGAAAGCATTGGAGGGACCCCTCCAGACGATGTCCACTAATCCACGTATATCACCACCCCATCACCATTCCTCTCCCCATGAATCAAAGCAAATTGATTCCCACTCAAGAGGCGGTGTCGAAAGACAGACCGCCCGGTGCAAGATCACGAAGTCAGTCGCAGGGTATTTTAGTCGTACTGTACAATATGCCGGTCCGAAACGGGGTCAAGTCGTAATGTTGATTTGATGAAAGTCTCTCCATCAAGAGGTAAATCTTAATCAAGAGGTGAGTCAAACGCCACCACCCATGAAAGCGGCAAGGTCGTCCAGCTCGAGCAGCTGCCGCTCGAATGCAGAGCACAGCTCACTGGCCGTCATGTCCTGAGGCACAGAAGCGGCCGGCTCTGCAGAAGGAACGCCGTTGGCGTTGGGGGGCTGCGGCAGCATCTCGGTGGACTGCTTGACCTCGGCCTGGGGCTGGGGAGGGGGAGGGCTTGCGGAAGCTGGAGTGCCAACACCACCGGAGCCACCGTTGATAGTGGTCACACCGGGACGGCGAGGTTGGGGGGCAGGAGGCTCGCTGTCGCGGCCACTCTCGCTCACAGAGGCGGTATGGTTGTTGCTGACAGGGCCCTGAGGCGCCGCGGCGTTGGAGGCCTGGTCGTAGTCCATGGCGTCCGGGTTGGTGTCGGGGTTGGAGGCGGCCTCGTCCTTAACGGATGCCTGGTCAGCAGGCGCCGTGGTGGGAGGCACCGAAGTGCCTCCAACGCTGGGGCTGGTGGCACCGGCATCGTTGCCCAGCACTCTATGCATGACAGCGAGATGACGCAGCCACGAGCTGATCAGGGGCCAAGTGTCTACTCCATCTTGCATGAAGTGGAGACCGTCGCGCACGATATGGCCGGCGGTCTCAACGGCGTTGGGAGGAGTTAGGCCCTTGAGAGACAGGTAGGCGACGGTCGCACTGGCCGTGAAGGAAGAGAAGAGCATGAAAATGGGGAAGCAGATGATGCCCTCCTTGTCGAAGCCAGCCTCAAGCGCCGTCAACATGGCGATGGTGCTGTGGCACGAAGTGAAGAGCCGATCAATGATCTCGTGGCACTGGGGCGTGAGACGCCAGCTCTCCAGGTTGAAGCCAGGGGCCGTGACGTACTGCAGGAGACGGCGGCGGTTGATGAAAATGGAGGCGCAGTGGAGCATGCAGTGGAGCATGGCGTAGGTGAAGCCAGAGCCCATGGTGATGTGAAGGTTTATCTGGCCAGGCTTGTCCACGTACTGCATCGAGAGAGAGGTCCGAAGGCGCTCAATCTCCCCCATCAGACCGGAGCAGACATTGTCGTTAAACGTCTCGGTGGTCGTGGTCATCAACATCTGGACAACATCGCGCCAGATGCGTGTAGCCAGGACAATCTGACCAAACTCGCCCACGTCATCAGTGCGAGTGCCAGCGGGCATACGAGAGGGGTCCGCCAGGTTGATGGTCTGAACAAAGACTGCATTGCCAAAGGCAAAGTTCATGTCAGAGCAGGGAAGGGAGACATCAGACGTGTCATTGACAGACAAAGCCGGCTGTCGGCCGGGCGTACTGGTGAGAAGGCAGTCGAGGATGTATAGCAACCAGAGCACACGGCGGAACGACTCGTCCTGCAGGAAGCGGTCGGCGTCGCTGACGGCAGCATGATGGCTGTGAAGGATGCGGTACATCTGGACCATGCGGCTAGCCTGGCCCAGGTAGATGTAGGCACGAACAGCATTGCGGGAACCCCACTCATGGATAATGATCAAGCAGATGGCTTGAATCTCAGCAAGGCTGGGAGTGTCAAGGTTCTGGTTGATGATGCCCATGGCCTTGGCGGCGAAGTGCTCGGCGGCACCGGTCGCGCCGGATTGGCCACCATAGCGCCTAATTAGAGTGGGGGAACTCCTGCAAGGGATCGAGGTTAGCGGTGGTCACCCACTAGATTGCAATGGGGGCGGCATGGGACTGAGTCGGCCGAAAGTCAAACCACGAAATACAGTGGATTACTTTTTCGGCCCAAGTCCGGAAATTTGGGGCTAACTGAGCCGACACGACACTTCCGACCGGAAGGCCGCGCCACCCACAAAAAAATCGGACATTGCGGGGGGAAGTAGTGAAACACGAGGCCAGGGAGTAGATAGGGATCGGGGGTCGGGGAACCCGGTGAGGGGAGAAAGAAGAAGAAAAAAGGATAAAAGTAGAGTACGTACCGAGCAGCGCAGGTGAGCAGTGCGTAGATGAGAGCCGGGTCGAGAGAGGCATTCTTGAGCTGCTGGATGAACGACGGCTTGTGAAAGGCAACACAGGCCGGGTACGTCTTGGAAATGACGCGTTCACATTCTTGGATGAGCTCCGGAGTAAGCCTGGCGGGGGGTTCAAGTCAGCATTCTGCGCACGCGCCTGGAGAGACCGAGAGAGGACCGGCGACTGGCCCGGAAGCAAAGAGTGGGGTGCAGAGTGGAGGATACGGGATTCGATTCGGGAAATGAGGATGGAGATAGCACACGAAATAAAGACTGATTAGAAGGGGACAAGGGATGGGTAGTGCGGCCAGAACGCGGCTCCGAGGCTCAAGCTAGCGGCGGTGGAAGATGCCGTCGGCTCGAGATGAAATGCCGCCTTTGGGGGATCGAGGCAAAGGCAGACGGATCTTGGGAAAGACAAACAAGGGGGTGCGAGAGGGAGTGGACAGAAGCAGAAGGAGAACAAGCGAGGACCGCGTGTCAGATGAGAAGGGGGGCAAGCCACCGCGCCCAGGCCGCATGCAGAAGGGGCCGAGCTCCCTCCCTGGTCGGCGGCGGTGGGCGGCGGCGACACAGCCGAAAGACCAGAATAGCACACCGGCCACACGGCGCGAGGCAGCTCGCTGCCAGACGCGAAAAGTAGTCGCAGCGCGTAAACGACGCGGCGAAAGGGGACGAGGCAGGGAATGGGACATGGTGATGGGCAGACTCGGCTCGGGGACGAGCAACAAAAGACAGGCGGACTTACTTCTCTGGGGTCTGGATGTGGCGAGACGTGGTAGAGGCCGGGTTGGCGGCGCGAACATCGCCGGCCGGGACCGAGGCAGGCAGGTTCTCGCGGGCAGGGCGATGAGCGGCGGTATGGCGGGCGGGCGACTGGCCGTGATGATGAGCCATGGACTCGGAGGGCAGATAGCATTCGTGCATGCCCTTCGCACAGTTCTTGCAGGGAGCGCGACCGTTCTCGTAAACGCACTTGGTCTTGCCCTTGCGGCAGCGCACACAGGCACCGCCGGCTCGAAGGGCGGTAGACCGCACAACGCTGGCGGACATGTTGGGCGAAGTTGTTGGGGGATGCGGCGATGTTGTCGCAGAGATGGGAGGTTCTGACATGCGCCGGCGAGCAGAGATGCGAGGATTCTTTTTTTTTTCCTTGTGTGCGCGAGACCCCGGGGCGCGCGTCGGTGTCGGTGATGGGACGCGACGCGATCAGGTTTGCCTGGGTGAAGGTGGTTTTGGTGACGACGACGACGACGACGACGACGACGACAACGGTAGAGGTCACGGAGGCGTTCGGCGTCAGGGAGCCGGGGAATTGGGGAGGTGAAGTAGAGGATAGGAAAAAAAGGAGGAAGAGTTCGGGGGTGGAAGGGGAGCGGGAGGAGGAGTGTTTTGTTGAGGGGGTTCCGGAAGAGAAGAGAGTTTTGGGGCCGGGTGACGCAGAGAAAAGAAGACCCGTCGCGCCGAGATTATGGAGAAGGGTGGCTCCAGAAAAAGGCGAGACCCCCAGGCAGGAGCAGGAGGTGAAGCGGGCGGGCGGGCGCGGCGGCGGCGGCGCAAGGTCAGGACGCCTGGGAGGGCAAGAGCGCTGGAGGAAGGGGTGGGGGGAAGGAGAGGTGCGAGGGCCGCCACCCACAACAGCGACGGCGATGGAAAATAAAAACGAGTCGGAGAGAGGCTAGCGTCCTCCGGTACGGCGCCGGAGCAGAACGATGTAAATGGTTTATTTGAAAAGGGAGGTGGCTTCGTCTTTGCTGTGTAATGGAAATGGAGAGAATCGGAGCACACGGTCGGCCGCGATTTCTCGGTGGTGGGCGACAAAATCCGGGCGGTGGTCCTCAGGTTTTCGGTGGTTTGGGAAGGGGCGTGGGGTGGAGGGGTGGGGGGCGTGAGAAGAAGGAAGGCAAAAACGGTACAGTACCTAAGGACAGGTACCTCTGAGGTAGGGCAGGACCCCGGGCGGGACGGCTAGAGTGGGCAAGCGGGGGAAGCAGAACAGAATTTTGCACACTTGGCAGGTGGAAATGCCAGTGAGCGCCGACGGACCTGGACGGGATGGAATTGGAATTAAGGTCAGGCAGGAAGGGAAGACGAGGCCGCCTAGAGGGGGGGGGGAGGAAAGGTGGTCGTTGTGGCCTGTGGCAGTCAGTCTGGCAGCAGACGAAGCAGATGCAGCGACTACGGCACGGCACCAACACGGAACACGGGGACGTCGCACACGGTCGGGCGGTCCTTGCACGTGGCCTCTCTCTGATTTCTGTCTGCATTTTATGGTTATTGTTATTATCGTATTTTTGTGTCTGCTTTTCTCACGCCTGCTGGATCTTCTTTTAGTTTCTTTTGGGGTTTATATGGTTTTTATTCTAATTGGGCCACCCGAATAGATGAACTTAGATGCTGGCTGTGCAAAGGGGGCTGCTGGTGCATTTGTGTGTGTGTGTGTGTGTGTGCTACTGATGGATGAAATGCGGAGGCCGTTGCTCTTTCTGTCTGGCGTCCCCGATGAGACGGACGGATGTCGCCAGATGTCCAACTGCACTCAGGGCTAGGCGCGGGTTGCGGATGCGGGAGCAATCGGCGGACCTTTCTTTGGGGGGAAGAGGGGAATGGGCAAGGAAGGCAGGGGTGAGTTGGAAAAAGAGGCCGGCTGAGTTTCCCCCCAGCTGGGAAGATGGAAGAATATTTCCACGCATGGAACCTCGGAAGGCACTGCGGTAGAGGCGAAAACGAAGGTGAATGGGCGGCCGGCCAAATGAGAAAGAGCATACGAAAGCAAAAAGAGAGGGGGGGTCTAAAAAAAGGGGGGGGGGGGGGCCGGACGACGAGGGCCTGGGGCAGACAGCCAGCTAGTAGCCAGCTAGACGCAGCAGACACGGACGGGCCTGAGGTTCTCTGCTGAGGTTTTACGGGCGGATCGGCTGGTGGTGCCGGAGCTGAGTGAGGAAGGGACGGAGGGCAGAAAGGCAATGGACCCACTCTGCCATGTCTGCCTTCCGCGGACTCCTTCGCGGGGCTCGTTGTATCTGGTACTCGGGCTTCCCGCCATTCCACTGTCTTCGTGCAGGTACCGCCCCCCCCCCCCCCCCCCCCCCCCCCCCCCCCCCCCCCCCCCCCCCCCCCCCCCCCCCCTTTCTCATTCACACCTGCCTTCAGCCCATCTCGTACCTGCCTCAGCGCGTGCGCGCTTGCGTTGCGTGGCACGCTGGGCCTCAACCCGAACCTGCCCAATTCATCATCCAGCCGTACGGATCCCCGCGGCAGGTGCCTGCCTCCGGATCTCATCCAGATATGCAGATGCTGCTGCTGCTGCTGCTGCTACTGCTGCTGCTGCTCGTTGCGCCATTCGACATCGGGGCCAACGAACGACATCAGGTCGAGGTTACTTCACCTACGGGAAACTTGCCAACTTCGCTTTCCTTGCTTCTTTATTTTTTCTCTTTGCTTTCTCTCGGTCGAGTCCATGCAAATGCCTGATCAACCAACCCCCTCGGTCGCGTTTCTGCCCAACTTCCGACTCAACATGGATGGGGGGAAGAAACAACGTAGAAACCACCCCAGCCCGGCTGTGGCCCGAAAGCCAAAACATACAGTACCGTCACAGTGCCTGGCGGCAAACCTCCCCGACACGCCTTGCGTCTCGCATCCGTCCGTCCTCTGCCCACCATAGCCAGCTGATGCGCAACCGATCCCGTTTGCCAGCAGGAGTCACCGTCGTATGGGAAACCTGCCGCTCCGTTCCCTTGGCTCAGGGTGCACTTCGCGAGCTCTCCATAGCATCCTGCCGCCCTTTCCGCATGTTCGAAGAATGCTCCTCGATCGATACGCATCGCAACGCATGTCCTGTCTCCTTGACGTATGTGCAGGTCCAATAAAACCCCTCCGAGCTCGCCATTCGGGCCCGACCGATCCTTCTGCCACTGGTCTGCGACGTCGCCGGGCCTGCCGATTACCTACAGCGCTTTGCGCCTGGGCAGCAAAGAGTCACAACCCCTGCCATGCACGCGGCACGCCGGGTTTTGGCCCACCCAGGACCCCAAGACACTGGGAGGGACGGACAGAGCGATCGGCCGATTTCTACCCTACCTGACGGTCCTGAAAGTCACTGACTTGAGCGACTCGACGGTGCTGGCACACGGGTTGACTGGGTACTGGCCAGCAGCAGCCACATCCCGAGCCAGAGCCAGAGACATACATAGTACGGCTGCCATGACATGGGGGCGTGGACAACAAACGCCGCCGGGCAGGCCTAGAATCGCCGCACCCACCCAGGGTCGTCATCGCAGCAGCGCTCTCTGTCTGTCCTTCCCGAGTTCCTTCTTCTCTCTTCTCCTCTCCCCTCTCCACCACCACCTTGCCCTTCCCCAAATCCTACGGCGCGCCCAAATCCAGCCGGCGGTAACAGGGCCATGCCTACTTGCCGCTTCCCTGGTCCGGGGCAACCAAGACCAGCGCCGCACCAGCCTTCACCGGAAGAGCGCCCACCACCCTTGTCCACAGCAACGCGGCGTACGGCATGGCGCTTCCCATGCCACGCTTCACCCGTGTTTCTGAGGGACTCTACCTACGGCACGGCCTTTACCGACCGAGATCAAGGGGGGCCGGACGCGAGGCAACAGATTGTCACCCGCTGCGCCTGATCGTCCGTCTTCCCATCTGCTTCACCGGCGTTTGTCAGAGGCGTTGTTCGCCATTTCCTCAAGCCGGCGACTAAAGATCAATGCATGCTTAAGTAGTCCATCCCGTCTGCTTTCATCTTGAGCAAGGACAGTGGCTGTCAGCTTGGCTTCCTCCGTCGACATTGGCACAGGTTGGATATTGGCGCCGTTCTCCCCTTCGTCAGCCAGGGTAAGCCGTTGCGACCTTGTCGCTCCCTGCGTATCCTGGCGTACCCCAAGCGGGAGGACGACTGTCTGGGGATTGACGGTTGTCTGCGCATCCCGAGTGCATTGGCGTGGTCTGGATTGCGGAACTGGCATGTTGGATAAATGTCATCTCAGTCGTCTTGCACAAAACAGACACGGCAGAAGCTGCCGCCTCGCCCGGGCCCTCAATGCAACCTGATCCGTCTTCGCTCCGGGGGACACCCACCCTCCCCCTCCCTTGCTCAATTTCAATATGGAGCGACAATCCCGAGAATATTCAGCGCCCATCTCGTTCCGGTGACGCGCCAAATTTCCGTTTAATCAAACTCGACTTGCCCCGGGCCTGGACCTTTGCTTCATCCGCCCGTGCTGAAGCGGACTTGGGCGCGCGCGCCTGATGCCCCACACCGGCCGTTCATCACGATCAACGAGCATGCGAATGACGAGAATGTCGACTGTTTAACGCTTTGTCGCCACGACATGCTTACATCAAGTTTCACGCCAGACTTCACCCATTCGTCGACGAGCGTGCGCGGCTGCTGCTCTGTCACTCTGATGCAGGGCAAATGTGTCACCGGCCTTGGAACAATGATGCCACCGGAGCGGGCAGGCGTCAAAAAGTGGAGACATCGCTATCCATCACGCTGGGCCGCTCGGCTCGCAGCATTCGGAGCAAAGCCCCTACGCACTGTCGCCCTGTTGAATAGGGGACCAATCCGGGTCTGCCGCCTCCCCAAGAACCCGAGTCACCCCCCCCCCCCCCCCCCCCCCCCCCCCCGGCCAACACCAAAGACGCGACGCCTTCTTCTTCAGCGCGGTGGGTGGCGCAACGCTGGAATCACACCGTGTGATGCGCGTTGTCTCCCGTTCCTAAAAACCGTTGGTTCTCAGGTGCGCATGCAAGGCTGCGATCATTGCAAACACACTGCGACACTGCCAGATTGCCAGGTTCCTACGGCCGCACCAGGGTTCGCTACATTCTTCTCATTCGGTCGGGGAAGCGCGTTGCGTCGCACCTATGATGCGGAACGTCTGAACGTTCTCCCGGCGACCGAAGAAAGCCTATTTCAGGTTGCTCGGCAGATCCCCAGTCGGGGCTGGCTGCTGGCCGTGGTCTCTCATTTCGCGCGTTTTGTTCCGGTTTCTTCCTCGGCTGACAAGAATGGCGACCTTGGGTACCGGGTCCTCTTT